TTAGTCGGGTTTTACTTTTAATAACGGTAGATACCTTATATTCGGTCGTTAAATTCCCTTCCGAGTTCTCTCGCAAAAGTTAATTTTTTACGGGGGTATATTTAGTTCGAGGTTACTGCGTCGGTTAAGCATATTTACTTGCTTATTCTTAGTGCTTTTCCGATAGATAATTGTAAAGTTAAATTCCGAAAGGAACTTTATTTATTGTATTTAACGTTTGTTAAGGGCTTTCGTAGTTATAAAGTTAATTAGATTTTTATAATCCGTATAAACCTTAATAGGATGTTTCGTTCTTGTAAGGTAATACTTCTATTCTCTAAAAGCTTCGATAATAGCTATTAGTTCCTTATTATAGATTTAGTAATTAAGCTTAGGTTTATTAAGTTTCTTTAAGTAAAAGGCGACGGGGTAAAGTCGTCCTTCCTCGTTTCGTTATTTAAGTTATCTTTCTAAAGTAAATTCTGAAGTATCGGTTTCGACTTCGAAAGGTTTTTCTAGGTCTGGAATTTTAAGGATTGGTTCTTGGAGAATTAGCTCCTTAAGCTTGTCGAAAGCCTGCTGTTAAAGTTCCTTCCATTCGAAAGCTTAATCTTTTATCGTAAGCTATATAAGGGTTATCGCTACTTAGCTATATCCCTTCACAAATTGTCGGTAGAAATTTATAAACCTAAGGACGCTTCGTACGTCCTTAACGTTCTACGGTCGAGGCTAATCTCGTATAGCTCATACCTTCTCGGAGTCCATGCTAATCTTCCTAGGGCTAATGCAATAGCCGAGGTATTTAACTTCCTATACGTGTCGCTTCGCCTTTCTAGGTTCCATAAAAAGCTAGGCGTCCTCCAGGGTCGCGAGCACCTAGTAAACGTGCCGTTTATACTCCTCTAACGTTCTTGAAAAGATTAAGATATCGTCTAGATAAACTACTACGAACAGATCGAGGTAGTTCCGAAAGATATAGTTAATTATAGCTTAGAAGCTGGCTAGTACGTTAGTAAGTCCGAAAGGCATTACTAAATACTTAAAGAGTCCCCGCTTTATTCAAAAAGCGGTTTTCAACTCTTCCCCTTCTGCTATTCGGATTAGATTATATACTCCCTTCAGATTTAGCGTCGTAAAGATCTGGGCTCCGTATAGTTTATTGCGTAATTCCGAAATCAACGGTAGAGGGTATCGATTCTTAATTATAATATCGTTAAGCTATCTATAGTCGATATAAAATCGTAGTCGTCCGTCCTTCTTTAGCACGAATAGGATTAGATATCCCGCTAGTGACGTTAAGGGGCGGATGTATCCCTTCCGCAAGTTCTCCTCTAGGTATTCTTGCAGTGCGGCCTCCTGAACCCGGTTCAGGGGGTAAATCCGGTGGAACTTTGGGTGTTATCCCTCCTTCAGCGGTATATGATGATCAAACTGGCTGTGTGCTGGTAGTCCAGTTTCCAACTCTTCCTGGAAGAGTTTCCGGTACTTCCGGTACTGCGGCGGTATGGCGTCGAGCTCATCCGCGTTGCCGTTCAGCTCTACTGCTCCGAGTAGGCCGGCACGTCCCGAGCGACCTTCTTCAGGGTCGTCTTTCTCGTGGTTGCATGCTGTCGTTTCGTTCAATCGGGGACGTTCTGGGGAAACACTCCGGGTTCCTCCCTCGCGTGCTACTGTCTTTTGTAGCTGGGGGTTCCCTGAGAGACCGCTTCTGGGCCTTTCCTCACGAGCTTGATCCCACTGGAGTTGGCTAGTCCTCCAGTTAATTCGAGGACTCTATCGTCGTAACTAAGGGATTCCTAGCACGAAGTCCCTTGATCCCGTATCGAGAATATCGAAGATAGTCGGGGTTTCTTTTCCATTTACGTAAATCGGGAGTTGCGCGGTCTCCTGATTAATAGTCCCATTATTAAAAGTTATAGGGTCTCCTTCGATATTCTAAACGGTATATGGATTCTGTTTCGTTCGCAGTTCGAGGCCGTGATGCCTTGCGAACTCTGGGGACATATAGTCTCTCTGTGCTCTATTATCTAGGAGTACTTTAGCGAACTTTCCGTTAATCTCTACCGTAACGTATAAATAATCCGTCGTTAGCGGTTTCGTTGCTACGACCGTGCGGGCAATACTTTTCTCGCTGCCGCATACTTTTCCCGACAGTTCAGCGCTCTTTATGCCCGCCAGATACTTCAGAGCTTATTCGTGCTCTCCCTCCTCTTTCATGGTTAGGTACTCGTCTCGTCCCACTAGTGTAATCCTTCTGAGGATAGGTTTCGTATCCGAGGTACCGGGTCCTTGCCCTGGCGATATATGCCCGGTCTGGCCCTGCGGCTTTCCGTTGCCGGGGGCTCGATTGATTGTAGCCAGAGTCTTCTTCTGGTGCTGTCGTAGTTTGGTGCACTCTCTGGAATAGTGCCCTAGTTTTCCGCAGTTGAAGTACCTAATCCCTTTCTTCGTGGGTTGGTACTGTGTCGCGTCGAGTTCCATGGGCCCACGATGGGTTCCCCACGAGGTGTTTCCTTAGCGTGGAGGAACTCGTTTGCCCATGTTGGCTCGATAAGGTCGAACTGGAGCAGTTCGATTTTCTATACGTCTCTCGAACAATCGATTGTCGATACGGACTGCTATTGCGATACAGTCTATAAACTCTTTAGGTTGGTCTTACTTAGCGAGTTCGTCCTTAATCTCGTCTCTCAGCCCGTGGTAGAATGCGACCATCTTAGGTCCATCCTCCCAATTCAGTCGTAAGCTAATCTGCTAGAACCTCACGGCGTAGTCCGATGCTGATCCCTTCTGGCGGAGATTATGCAACTGCTGCTCTGCAGTGCGTTCCTCGTCGGGGTCCCTGAAGGCTGCCTTAAGCTTCTTTTCGAAGGTAGCGTAGCTCGAAAAGATGTCTTTCGTATGGGGGTCGCAATCGATGGGCCCCTTCTCAAGGTAGTCCCTCTGGAAAGATTCGAACCAAATGAGGGTATCCCCAGTCAAGAAGGCTACTACGCATATGACCTTGTCTGCTTCCTCAGGCAAGTCACTGCCGTAAAAGACGATGTAAGCCCTCATCTGGGTGAGGTAGCCTCGTAGGGTTCCCTTCGTGCCGTCATATCGGGGTGGTTCTAGGAACTTGAGCCGTCGGTTGTCGTTGGAGATTGTAGTGACCGCCTTAGCGGCCGTGACCGCCTTAAGGAGTCTCTCCTTCTCCTCCTGGAGTCGCCTAATCTCGTGGGCGGCGTCCTCTTCGATCAGTACGGGGGAGCTTAACATCGACATGGTTGTTCGAGATATTGCCCAGCAGTGTAGGATAACTGTCTGAACAAGAGCTTTCAAAATGTTACGCCCAGACTCTTTTGAGACACCGCATCACAGGTGCCATTCCAGGTGCCATCACCACCTAGTCGTCCAGTGTCCTCCTGCCCGCAGGTCCTGTGCCATTTGTCTCGGCGCCATTGCCCCGCGGTCTAGCGCGGCGTGCTTGTGGTTGTCTCGCTCTGAGAGGACGGTGCTGACGGGCTGGTCCATGCGGAACATGTCGTACCATTGTCCTCGGTACCACGGGCCGCGGGCAGACCATAGTTGGCGGATGGCGGCGGGGTCGCTGGTGATGACCCAGTTGGGGGCGATGCGGTAGATGGGGCCGTAGCGTTTGGAGAGGGAGGAGAGATGCCGGGCGAGGGATCCGGTGCTTTGGTGGTAGGTGAGCCAGAGGGTGGTGATTTTGGCTGGGAGGGGGCCGGGAATGTGAGCGAGGCGGAGGTAGCGCGATGTGCGGGAGAGGATCCGGTAGGTGAAGAAAAGGGCAGCGAGAGTGACAATTAGCGGTAGGTATATCATGTCTACAAGCTCTCTATGATTGAGAGTAACAGAAAGGTTGAAGCGGGATTAAAAGAGAAGATTAATGGAGCAGGTCCTACAGTTCTTCCCCTCACTCGTCAAAGCACAAAGCTCCTGGGGTGCGAGGAGTGCGAGCAGAGAAATCCGATCACCGACATTTGTCAGCCGGCGAATATCCCGCTTCCAAACACAGTGTCACATTGAAGGCGATGTCTGTACCATGTCGGGTCCAACCACCGGGAACCAATGAGGGCGGTGGCCAGGAAGACCGCCGGGACATAGGGACATGAAACTAGAGGCTGCGAAAATGATCCGAGGTCCTAAGGTATTGATACTCGAGAAAAGCCAGCCTTTTTGTCTTCTGAGGCCTCTTGACTTCCTTCAAAGTCCATATACTAGTCCTAAAAAACCTCTTGCATATGTCGAAAGGCATCTTGTCCATCTTGGAAAATCCTTTATGTACTTTGAAGGCCTGTTAATGCATATTTAAGGCCTTCTATGTATATTTAAGGGCGTATTGGCTATCTTTGAAGGCCTCTTGATCATGCTCCAAGGCCTGTTGATAGATAGATAAGGTATTCACTATCTCCAAGGGTATATTGATTATATCTGGATGCCCTTATTAGGTCGAGGGACTTTTGCCACTAGAGAATGTAGATTAGCAGTGCATGTGGCATGGGCCAACCTGTTAAGCCCCAAGCTGGTGACCGTCAGTCCAGATATCCATCGCACGATGCATTGCAACACCATCCACGAAGACTGAATGATCACCAAGGCTTTGGCCACTCCCTCGGTAGGAACATTATCAAATGCTTCAGAACTCGTAATGAAGTCAACAAAATCGGTCCTTTGTTACAGGGGTTTCTTGTCCCATATTCGCGTTGATAGAAATCGTTTGTCATAATAATGCGATTCCTTGTGGCAGTGGAAGGCCGACTGATTTCCACCCAATCAAGCGCGTCTAGCTGGAGCAGGATCAGGTGACTAGACAAGAAAATGTTGACAGAAAAGAGAGCAGGCTACCTGCCTATGTAGGTGCTGCCCTTCCATCACAGGGACCGACATAAGCGGGGCTCTTGTCGGGTAAACGCAGAAATTTGCGACCACCACCTGCACCGAGGATCTAAGTCTTGCCCGAAACAAACAAATCAAAGGCCAACCACTGATGCCAAGGTTTCAGCCAATAACGCGCAAGCACCATGCCAGCAACAAGCACGCCCGACCAGCTCCAACCCCCACCCCGAGACACGATTTTCCACCTCTCTCTCGACCCCCAACCTCCCAGTCCAGCCGCACCAACTCTCATCCTCCTCCATGGCCTCACATCCTCCCATCTCGAATGGTCCCTCGTCATCCCACACCTCCAACCTCACTACCACCTTCTCCTCGTCGACCTCCCAGCCCACTCCCGCTCCTCCTCCCTCCCACCCCCATACATCATCCCCTCCATGGCCGACCAAGTAGCATCAATCATCCAGTCCCACGCACGGAACAGCCAAGCCCACGTGGTTGGCATGTCCATGGGCGGTTTCGTCACCCTCAATCTCGCCCGCCGGTACCCCTCTCTCTGTCTCTCGGCGTTTGTCTCTGGCGCCACACCTTTTGAGGGTATCACGAGGTGGTTGGCAAGGAACAATTGGGTATTATACTATGGGTTCTGGCTGTCAAATCTGATCATCACAGATGGGATGTATGACTGGATGTGCCGGGTGATGGACATGAAGGAGCATCGTGAGCTGCGGCGGGAGATTGTGAGGAATGTCAAGTGGCAGGTGATCAGGGATGTGTATGGGAGCATTGTGGAGGAGTTCACCGTGGAGGGGATGGCAGAGGTGGGCCAGGTGAGGTGTTTGAGTGTTGCTGGGGGAAAGCAAGATCAGGTTGAGGTGACGAGGAGGGTTGGTCAGGTTTGGAAGGAAAGGGGTTTGACTGGGCGGCTGGGTAGCCGGGCATTTGTGGTCAGAGGGGCGGTGCATGCTTGGGATTTGCAGTTTCCTGACGTTTTTGCTGGTGGTATTAGGAGCTGGGTTGAGAGGGACGATTTGCCGGTTCAGTTTGAAGTTTTGGAATGAGCAAGGTGTCGCGATTGTGTGAGTATTACCCATCTTTGTCCTTCTGTTGTGCTTAAATACACATCGTACCATGTCATCTGCTCTCTCATACTGGTCTACCTGGGCAGTCCCATCGCCCTTCTAAAGAAGTTATTTTCCACAACAGGGAATCCTCCTTCCAGCACCTGCCCTTCGTCACCTTTCAACGTCTTCAATCCCTCATTCCACTTGCCCATCGCAAGACCGGTGAGAAACCCACCCAGCGGCTCTGTTGGAGACCAGTTGCCTCTCATTCCAAACTTGAAGACAGGGTGCAGCGCATGCCCCAACCCCGTCCTCGCAAGCCCCAGAGGTGGCATGTACTTGGTAACGCTCTTGTCCTGGTCGAGCCAGTCGATAAACCCAGGACGGACGGTGCTTGCACGAAACAGCGGGTTTTTTTTCCTGACATCAGCCAATGCCAGTTCTGTCTCTCCTTTTGTTTTGCCGAAGATGGGGGTGAAGAGCCCCGGCTGGAAGGTTGCACCTTGGCCGGAGACATAGACAAAATTGAATGGCTTGTTGGTCGCTTTCAAGGCCGGTTGGAAAGCCGACGCAAAGGCCAATGGGTAGGTTTTGGTGATGGTGATGTAGTCCCTGTTTGATTCAGATTGGTCAGTCCAAAGCCAGCAGGGGTAATATAGGCTCGGGTGCGGGACATACTCTTTGTTCACTTGTGTTTGGCTAATACCAAGGGCCCAGACACAACCGTCCGCGTCTTGGAGTTGGCTGAGGACCTCGGGACTGTACGAGGAAAAGTCCTTGTGGATGATGACGTTGACCCGGGGGTCCTTGGCATCTTCAGCTAATTGCACTGGCCGGCGACTGAGGATGGAGATTTTGGAGATGTCGGTTGTCTTGAGCATGGCGTCGAGCACCGTGGTGCCGACCATGCCTGTGGCGCCTGTTAGGATGAGATGCATCCTGCTTGGATGATGTGGCTTTTGAAACAAAAGAATCTGAGGATGAACCGATGATACCGAGAAGAGACGAGAAAGCAGCACTTTTTGAAATACTTTATAGTACTCCCGAAGAGTCGGCAGAACATCGCACTGCGGCCGTCTTGGCAGCCGGTCAGCCCGACACGGTGATATCGGTGTTAGTAATCCCTGCGGATGCGGGTTGTTATGGCCGATGCGGATTGATTGGAATCCCGGCGCTGAGGGCGGAATGCGCAGGTCTTCGGATAGATTCTGACAGCTGACCAACATGAACAAAGGTGCATGTGTTGCCATGGACCCTGAGCCCGAAAATCAGTAACGAAACACACCCAGTCATAATACCGACAAGACGACAGAGGAAGACGGCCAGCAATCTTCACTCGGATGTTAGGTACGCTGGTGAGCCTAACAAGCCTTGCCAGCACCATCTATCAGTGATCACCAGCCCATTGAGAGCCACAACAGGTATAGAAACTTAGGTTTCAAGGGCTTTTGGTGATTGTAACGGGAGGAAGAAGAAAACCTTGGAATAGAGAAAAAAAAAAGACTGAATACAATACAGTATACCTGTGGGCAGACTGAGGGGCTTTGTAGATCTATCTAAGCTTTAAATTAGTTTAAGATAATCCAGACTATCATTTGGAGGGAAATCCAATGCTGGTTCTGGAAGACATACTGCTAAAAGTTGAGGAAGATTTCTCTTCCCATTTTTACATTGACACACCCCCCCCCCATGCTTCCAATAGCCTCAGGCTCATAAGCGCCAACAGAAAATAAAACTTGAAAATAAAACGGGGCGGCAAAAATAAATTTCGGGACCCTAACGTGTGTGATAAGCAAGTGCCGCACTTTTTGACGTGACCTGACCCTCCACATTCAACCTTCCATTTCTCAACCAAAAGCCACGTCTTCTACCTCTAACGAAGCTAGAGTAATTCTGGCCGCAAACGAGCCGCAGCGAGGATTTACAAGGTTGACGATAGAACTATTCGCCGTCTAGTTGCCGGTACATTTGCACGACGCGATCCCCTAGCCAACTCGCGCAAACTTACGGATTGTTGAAATACAGCACTTATTTGTGGATTTTACAGTATGTTCTTTCTCGTGGCTTACAGCACTCAAAGGCTTCAAGCCACAGCGTCCATAACGCCCACAGCGGTCACAATGAGCTACAAAGTTCTCATATAAAGCCACTGTGGCCAACTGAACCGGTAGAAGTTGTGGGGATTGATAAGGAGGAAAACGAGGTCTTGGATGCCTATAAAAGACTCCCCTTGCAGTGTACTTGGAATGGTCTTTTCTTTCTTAAGTTTAAGTTCAAGTCAAACAGTCAAAGTCAATATACTGGTTTACCACACTCTCTTCCAGGGCATAGTTCCATGCAGTTTAGTGTCTACCATTCTATTTACAGGGCATGGTTCCTTATACTTGCCTTCCTTCGGTGCCACCTCGTACTGTCGTATCTCGCAATCTAAAAACCCCAGAGTCTTCAGCTAATTGCTTCCGACCTACCCGGCAGGGCCTAATCAACTAGCCTGCTGGCGACATATCTTAAGAGAAAGGTTATTCGCGAGTGGCTTGCGCTTGTGTATAATAGTAAGGTTAAGTCCAGCATCGTTGACGGCCATGATAGCTATCGCTTCGAAGAACTCGAGACCTACTGCTAGGAGCACAACATTATTACACTTTGTATGCCTCCGCACTGTTCTCACCTGCTTCAGCCATTAGATGCTGAATGTTTTGCGCCGTTAAAGAAGGCATTTAGCTGCTAAATTGAGCAGCTAATGCGGATGGATATCGCACACATTAGCAAACTGGGGTTTCTTTTTGCATTCAGAGAAGCATATTTTGCTTCGATAACAGAAAAGAATATGCAAGGGGGTACAAGATAGAAGTAGGACCGGCACGCCTATCAGGCGCATCGGTTGTAGGAATAATAAATATCTAAGGGGGTTTACCGGAACTGGCTTGTACCGTATGACCCGGAGAGGGTGATATCTAAGCTAGATGCGTGTTTTCGAACTCCAACACCCCCATCCTCAAGGCTAGCCACGGCACTACCTTGGGTCTCCCAAACGCCACACAATCCTCGAGAAGCAACCTCCCAGCCACAGCTTATTATTATTATTATTCCTACACCGTTCTACCCTTTCTTTTTAAAGAGTGCGCTGGACTTTCTGATGCTATTTACGGAAATAAACTGTTTGGCCCCGCCTCGGATCGAGCCTCAAGTAGAGGAAGATCGGATTATACGGCCTTGTAAAAAAAGACGACAATATAGAAACATACACAGAGATGCATATGATGACAGGCGTCGAGGCGTTACATTGCTGGCACACTTAACGGCTCGGCTTGGATGTTCCGGAATCTGGATATAAGATATTTAATGACACTTGGCTTAACTCTTTTCTTCATCGAAACAATGTTTCGACGGCATCGAGTCCCGCCCCTTGGACGTCCCTGATGGCAGTCATTAGTGTCGGATAGAACCTATCAGCAATCTTTTGGATCCCCGACGGGCTGGCATGAATCCCATCGTACAAGTCCACCTCAGCATCAAACCCAGTGAACAAGTCCACAACCCAAACCGGACTGGCCGTTGTGTTTTGGCTGACCGCCTAAGCCGGAATGGCTCTGTTTAGTTCCTTGCTCATTCTTCTCCGCGTTCACCCCAAGTGGGATAATCTGCGCCACCTAGGTAGTCCCTTTGTCAGTTCTTATCTCCTAACCGTCATTGATAAGGTACTTAGCTTGAGACAACTCACGATAATCCTGATATTTCGATTCCGCCCCCTCATCTGTCCCACAAGCGTGGAATACGCCCTGAGCAGCTCCTCCGTCCCCGGCGTTCCTCTGACAATGTCCACGGTGCCCAAGTGCATCGTCACCACGTCAGCAGGGTTCTTTCCCAACCAGTCCGACACCCGACCCTCGTTCGCCAGCAGCCGTAGTCGGTTATCGAGTCGCCCAGGGGCATCCATCTAACTGGCTTTTGGTCCCTTTGTCTCGGGAGGGACAGGGATAGAGCGTATGGAAAGAGCAAGAGAGTTAGGATGCAGGGCCTCGTTGTGAGTTGTTGTGAAGGTGGCAAAATTGAGGTTGAGTTGCTAGGCGCAAAGGAGGTGCACGGGGCAGCTGAGGGATGATATAGTACCCTAACCAGCATGGTGTTTACCCGGCGGGAGATGTCCGGGATCAGGTTACTACGTGGTGCACAGAACGGCACTGTGAATACGGAGGATCTGGTCCGCGAGCCACGCAGCCATACAATAAGAGCGTGATTCATAATATACTTTCATTACATCTCGTCCACGGTACGAAGACATTCAGAAGACTGATATACCGGATATCAGAAAAGAGAAGGACAAGGAGTGGGAAGAAGGGTAGGAGCTAAAGGAGTGAACTGAAGTTGGAAGGTATGTTAGAGCTGAGATTGCAATAAAGGGGTCAGGCACTGTCCAGCAGTGTTTGTTGAACGACTTGGAGAGATGTGAATTATGGATGTCCGATTGGTCTCCTTGAGCTTGCCTGGGTTGTCGTCCCTTTATAGTACCAATAGAAAAGATATGAAAAGGTAGTACCTCTATTTCTCCAGCCGAGCTTTCTTATAATAGAAACCGGGTTCGTTCTGAGCTCCCTGGCACCATCCCGCCTCCTCACGTTGGTATTATGGTCGTAGAGTGAGTTGGCGATGTTTTTAGAACGGTTGGCTCCTCGGTCAAACGGCCAGGCCGGTCTATGGGACTAAGTCTCAGTGGTTTATCAAAAAGTTGTGTGACGTTCAGGATGTCGCCACTAGTTTTCTCTGGAATGGTCTCCTCCCAGTTCTGTGGCAACTTCGATCAAGTGCCATCCAGTCACTTCACCTAATCACCCCTGGCCGACCATTTAGGATTGCAGGTCTAAGGCACCCAGACCATGGCCCCGCCACGTGTAGCTGCCTTGCCCAACTTTTGTTCCTTAAATATCTTCTTTGTTCATTGATTTATCACCAACCCGCATCGGCTACAGTGCTGATAGAGGCTCAAAGCACTGTTGGAGTCACATAACCTGTGTATACACGTTCCACAATATTTTACCAACACCAAGACTGAACTGGTACCTAACCAACAACTTGAATTCCTAACACCAAAACACCACAAATCAAGCCAGACATGAGCAATACCGATGGTGAAATTCTCCCAGGAGACCCAAGGTTTCAGCCTCGATTAAAATCTCAGTATGTGCTTGACCTGGGAAAACCGGACGACGCGGACTGTGGTCGTGGCGTCCAGGAGACGCTCGATGTCATCGCCGCGCTGGAAAGCTGTGGAATTCCTTGCTGCGTCGTCGGCACAAAGGCTCTGGTGTATTATGGCGCTCGCCGAGTTCCTATGGTTAGTATTTCCGTCGAGCTACGCCCAAAACAATGTAGTTTACTGACTGCGAGTTGTTCAGAACTGGGAAATATGTGTCCCGACAGAGTCATTCGATAGAGCGATCACCTTGCTCACCTCACCCCCTCTGAACGAAAAGTACGAGGTGTGGCACCGCGTCCTGCCGAGGCCTCAAACGCTCATGCACACCTACCCCCGCTTCACGCTCAAGGGTGTCAACTTTTTTTTCATAATTGTGCCGGAATTCGAATGCCTTCTTTCTCCTAGCCCGGACCAGTGCGAGCGCAGTGCGAGCGGGATCCCGTACCCCAAGCTGGAGCTGTTTGCCCAGAGCCTGATCGACCTGCAACAGTACGCTGATCTGGACGACCTCGTTGACGGAATGAATCTAGAGGAAGAGTGGGGCGAAACCAACCTAGAGCTCGACAAACCACCGCCGCTCGAGCACATCCGGGAGAAGAATGACATGATTGCTCGCTCTCTACCAGAAGACATGCGCGACGTCACTCCGCTTGCCTTGCTGAGTGAGAGGACGAGGCCGGCGCGGGATGCATGGCGGCGCAGCGTGAGCACGAAGCATCGGAGGATCAACGATGAGCTGCCGAGACACAGGTACCTGACGAGGTTCCGGAAGGTCGGCTCGAAAGATCCGCGTGAGAATACAGACCGGGAGGTGTGACTGGTCTATATGTTCTTGTAGTAGCCTGTTTTGTTTTGTTTTTGGCTGAGTGCGTTGCTCAGTATATGTATGTTGCTCATATCTTCCATCCAATGAAATGAGAAATATACTGTAAGCCGTACAATGTATTCAATGAACCCAAGAAATAACAGAAGAACGGCAACAAGATCCAGAGCTCCTTCAAAGGCCCAACAAAAGAAACTACCCCACAACAAAAGCTACCTCAGTACGCATCCACCAGAAAGCTGTCCAGCTTCGGAGTAAAGAATTCAAAGCTCTGCTGATCAAAGACACACTGAAGTTCCTCCTCCTCATCATCCTGCTGCTGTCCCTTGCCCTTGCCCTTACCCTTTCCTTTGCCTTTCCCATTGCCGCCGCTAGTATTACTGCCCCAAACAGGCCTCAGAGGAAACCCGCAAATCCCCTCCTTCTCCCCCTTCTTCTCACCTCCCTGAACAATCCCCTCCAGCCGCTCAAAGTCCTTTCCCTCCTCCACCCACTCCATCAAGCTCTTCAGCATCTCTGTCGGCCAAGCGGCATTGTTAGGCTTGACCACCCCTAGCGGGTCCACAGTCCCAGGATTATAATGCGAGCCCCCAGGTACCAAAAACAGCTTGTTCCACTTTGCTATCTCGGCATACCCCTGCTGCACCCCCAAACCAGGGTACATTATCTTCCTGACTTTATCCTGATACATGGTCGACGAGACCGCGGGAATCATGGCATCAGCCTCCCCATGCCACACAATCATCTTGCCCCCGTTGCACTTGAACGGAGTGAGGTCCGGCCAGAGGGTGAAGATAGTAGACATGTACTTGCTCATCGCGTCGTTAACCCATTCGCGGATGACATCAGGGCTGACCTTATCCAGCGGCAGCGTGGCCGAGTAGACCTCCTTGATCAACAGGTTCACCACGGCAGGAGAGAGAGGATTGGGATAGGGCTCGAGCTGGTTCGTGGCCGGGTTAAAGACGGTGACAGAGTCGCTGAAATCCACGGAGGGGGCGTAGAATGGGTGGACGAGCTTGTTCTTCGAGTCGTACATGCCGCGCCAGGTCTCGGCTGCCACAACGGCTGCTTTGGCGGAGACGGTGCCAGCAATGGGGGGTTGGCCGAGCTAGGGAACAGCGGAGCAGTTGTAGGGGTTGCCAATTGAGGACGAGGCGTTGAAACGGGCGAAGCAGAGGTCTGTGCGGGCAACTACCCCGTCGGTTTTGCCGTCGAGGGGATCGCAGAAGGCGATGGCGTCGGCGGTGATGCGAGCAAGCTCGCAGACGGAGGGGTAGTAGTCGTGCTTTCGCTAAGCGAGGGGACCGTGGTAGTGAAAGATGGGGTGGCGGATTGCCGGGGAACCGACAGAGACGCCGTCAAAGGTTGTGCTGTACTTTTGGACTTGGGACATGCCCTCGCGCCCGCCCTCGGAGCAGCCGTGGAAGTAAGAGTAGATTTTGGTCAAGTTGGAAGAACTGTAGAACTTCCGTATCAGTTCTTTGCCGAGAACCGTCATCTCGTGCATAGCTCGGTAAGAGTACGCGATAAGGGCGTCGTAGTTCATGGCGCCGTTGCCGTAGAGAATAACACGGCTGACATCGGAGTCGAACCCGCCGAAGCCGGCATCAGTGGTGATGGAGGCAGCGCCATAAGGGAGACCGGTTGCGAGCCCCCTTGCGCCGAGCGTGACGGACAGACCGCCTCCTACTGTTACAAGGAATCGATTCTTGAATTAGGCGGGGCTTGGAAGGTAAAGCCAAAGGTTGACGCGGTCACTGGGGCGGCCGACATAGCGATAGGCGAAGGTGACGTTGCAAAAGTTGCGGCCGGTGGCGCCGGGATGGGTGCTGTCTGGTAGAGCCGTGAAGTTGGTGACAGGCTGAGCCGTGACAGAACCAGCGATTAATTCAAGGCCCTGGAAGAAGTCGGGTGCCGGAAAGGATGATTCAACGAAAGGTATTGTGCAGAAGTCCGGAAGGTTCGAACTGCACGTGGATTTAACCACAAGACCGGCCACTACCAAAAGTTTCAGAAGCCCCATCGTGTCTCAGATATTCCCGTCAAGTTCTTGAGCTGCCTGGTGAGGAATCAGCAACCCATTCAAGGCGCTTCGTCTGGATATTTGTAGAGGATCATGTTGGTGATCCCCTACGGAACCCGGGTTCTTGGCAAACAAGTCGATAGCTTGAGAGCTGGAGAACTAGATGAATCCACTAAAACCCCTCTACTCCTCGTCAAAACGTCATCAAACAAGCCAAAGACTATGATGGAAAATAAAAAAAACTCCCATTTACTGCTGTCTGTCCTTATAATTATTCATGGTATCCCTGCAATGCGAAGTACGGGGTATATAAAATACAAGATCTCGACCCGACCAGGGGGATTAATGCCCCACTTTGAGGCTACCTCCACACACGCACCAACAACCCATGCACTAGGATTGTATAACCACAGAATCTCTTGATCCCCCTTGGAAGGATCTTGTGGCACAATGGCATGACTGTTATTTGCGAATTTGGAAGATCAGATTTCAATCCATTGTTAACGGATTGAGGCTGTGTATCCGGAATCGTGTTCCCCCACATCTCCTACCAAGACCTTCATCCTGTAGTTTGGTCTTCTTCAAGCTTCAAAGCTGAACTGAAGTAATAGCCAATTGCACGTGCCTCTCATATAGCTGCTGGGTAAAGGGGTTAGCCCACTCACTTGACCGAAGGGCTCCCACCTCTTTAGCGTGAGAGCTGCAGTTAAATCCGATCTGTTACTCAGGCAAGAACGATCCAATTGATTTTACAATTAAGATAGTAAGTGCACCAATCACCGAGGTCCATCCTGCCATATTGTCAGTCCCCTCATGCCTGAAGGACCCATCTTTCGGGCATCAGTCAGTATTTTCCGTCGTGATCCGCCACTTCTCCTCATAGGACCAATCGTCGAGGTTCAAAACATCAACATCAACTCGATTCGCCATTCGCTTGTCGGATACCGCGTGCTGCATATGCAGCTATCCACGAGTTAGGATGGGCATGATACCTGGTAGGCCTCACGGCAGCTACCCAACAGGTCTTGTACTTGACATACCCCGCACTCTCTTAATACCCTTTCCTCTGACACTGTTCTTCGTTGTTCGGCACTTCGAAACAAGTCTTGGAATGCCACTATGGCCCGACAAAAGACCCAACTCCCTTTGCGCCCAGCTGGCTCGCAAGCGGGCAAAAAGCCCTGCGTGTTCTTCGCCCAGCAAGGCTGTCGAAATGGTAGCTCCTGCTCATTTTCCCATGATCCAGCCGTCGTCGAGTCAGTGACCAGAATTACGCCCACCGGCGAGCAAGATGGCAAAGCCCCGACACCAAACCCACCTGCCATTTCTATCTCAAAGGAGCTTGCCTGAAGGGAGACAGCTGCCCCTTTGCTCACCCGGAATCCACCCAACCACTCGTTTCCGAGGAGAATGGGGAGCATTCAACTGATAAAAGACAGGGCCCAGAGAATGTAGGCTCACGCCCATTCTAAAACTAAAGACATTTGCTAATCTCCATACTATTTAGGATGAATCCGAGGACAAACCCGACGACTAGATACGCCAGCTCGGCCGTTCGCATCAGTCAATTGCCTGTGGACAGCACAGCGGGTTATATCTTTTCAGTCCTCCGCAAACTCGGCTTTGCCGTCTCGATCGACGAAATTCGCTTCACCCCAAGTCCCGATCCAACCTATCGTGTTGCCGATCTCCTCATTGAGGATCCCGCTTTCGCCAGACAGTTCATCAGCATGGCAGATGTCTTCAAAAGATCCTTTGCGGGCAAGAATAGCATCAAAGTCATCGCTATCAACGCGCCGATGCCAGGGGGGTCGGGAATGCACAGGGTTGAATGCAAAAAGGTCCTGTGCTCTTGGTACCGGCCGTTCAAGACGGTGTGGCTCAATTTCACATCGTCGGGCTTGGCCGAGATAGTCCACGAGAAGTACACGAGTGGCAGGTGGAGAGTTCTCAACATGCCTGTCACAAGTCACACGCCCAAGAGGAGCAAAGCGTGGACGACAGTCATGCTCACCGAAGTCCCTGCCGAGGGCTACCGAAGACGATGTCAAGAAGTCGATCCCGGCGAGCATATCGCCTAGAAACGTGGAGACTGGGACCCCGAGCTTTAGCTACGACGCTGAGATGGCGAATGCTCTTGTCAAGTCTAGGCTGATGGACGTTGGACCGCTCGAGTGGTGGGAGGATGCCGTGTTTGGAGGCAAGCGTGCCAAGGCGAAGGCTCGGTTTCAGGACGATGGCGATGCTGCCAAGGCGGCCTCCCTGCTCGACGGATGGGAGCTGCCATTTCACAAGAAGGGCAAGCTCACTGTTCAGGCCATCTACTCTGCACGATTCCGGGTCCAAGAGCGGATCTATCGAGCCATCAAGCCCATTATCGAGGAATAGAGCACGACGTGGCAAGCAAAAAAGGTGTACTTGGCTGCCTATGAACCTGCTCGTTTCTCCTCTTCGCTTGTCCTGAAGTTTGAAGGAGAGGATAACAAGGCGGTTGCGGAAGCAAAGCGAATCTTAGAGCAGATATTGTAAGGCCACCTTGCGACTAACAAAGGTAAGCCGATCTGGTTACTTACCTTTACCGTTAACGGTGAGGTCTTTCAGAAAATACAGGAACTTGAGCAACTCCTGGGCATCGTGATTATCCGCAACAGGAAGCTATCACGAGTGTACCTCTTTGGGCTGGAAGACAAGTGCAAAGAAGCCGAGACGAAGCTTGCGGCAATTGCACAGCATTGCACAGCAGGACTTGTCAACCACAAACTTCATTAAGCTTAACGCCGCCCAGTTTGCGTGGGCTTGCCGAGGTGGATTTAAGTCCATCACAGAGGCACTCGGCCGAAAGGCTACCTTTAATGTCGTCTCCGATCCCAAGCAGATTGTGGTGACAGGCTCAGACGAAGACTTCAAGCTCGCCATCGACATGGTCAAGGCCCAGAAGGAGCCCAACTCTGGGAGCAGCAGCAGCAACACGGGAAAACAATCCAGCACTGGAGACTGCTCCATTTGCTGGACGGAACCCGAAAATCCCCTCGTCACTGATTGTGGCCATACCTATTGCTCTGACTGCTTCGAGGGACTGTGCGTCTCGGCGACCTCCTCCGCCAAAAACGACTTCATCCTCCGATGCGAAGGGAACTCGTCCCAGTGTCAGCAAGCCTTCTCTCTTAACTTCCTCCAAGAGCGCCTATCCTCTTAACTGTTTGAAGACATCCTCGAGGTATCCTTCAAGTCCTATGTCTCGCACCGCCCCGACGCGCTACGCTACTGCCCTACCCCTGACTGTGGCCAGATCTATCGCGCTGCGACGGGAACCTTCACCTGCCCCAATTGCCTCACGCCGGTGTGCACGACCTGTTTCGTATCACACCAGGGCAAGACGTGTGCCGACCATAAGTATGTTTCGTCAGGTGGGGACCTGGCCCTGAACGAAGCCAAGCAGCGTTTGGGGATTAAGGACTGTCCAAAGTGCAAGACTGCCATGGAAAAGACGGAGGGCTGTGACCATATGACATGTGGTGGGTGTGGGACGCATATTTGCTGGAACTGTTTGGAGACATTTGGGACCGGGCCTGAGTGCTACAAGCATATGAACAAGGTGCATGGGGGAATTGGGATGGCCTGGTAACTATCGTATCCGGTATACGGAGACTTTATCGCTCACTCATCGTTTTCACTTGGATAAGAAAGCAGCTGCCTTGTCATTATTACTTTGTCCTTCGCAACTCGAAAAAAAACAAACCAGAAAGAAACGCCAAACTTCTCTACTGACAACTTTACACGATAGTCTTTCGAATACATGGCAAACGCCCTCAACGCTTTTCCTTGACTGGCTTCTTCTCAAATGCCAGCATGCTGGGCGCGTAATCCCTCAGGAGGTCAATTCGTGCCCTCGATGCAGTACTCCTCTTTTTCAGGTCCTCATGGAGTACGCCTTCGACGGAGGGACGCAGCAACTTGAAATCGCTCAGTGACTGCACACAGCCGTGCCTCGCCTCAAAGTTGGGCAAGAACGGAGCCCGGAGCGGCGGTCGGTCTTGATACTTCCTGCACTTGTCTCTCAGGCTCTCCAGCCTGAGATTTCCCTCCAGCTTCCGTCTCCACTGAGAAATATTCATGAACATGGCATTTCCCTCGCTGGGACAGTATCGCCCGAGCACCTCAAGAAGCATGAGGCCAAAGACGTACACGTCGGTGGCCCTCGTCATGATGCCCTCGCGTGTGGCCTCGGGGGCCAGGTACACCAGCGTGCCACCGACGTCCTTGATGTTAGCATGGTCATGTGGAGGTTTATTCGAGGCAAACTTACATGACGAAGTATTGCCAGCTGTTCGACTTCTGCTTGAAGCCTGATTTCTGTGTCTTCTTCTTGCACTCCTTGACGGCATACAACTTCCCTTCAGCAAGACACACCGCCATGAAGACTCTACCGAAACCCCCCTCACCAAGAACCTTGTACGTGTGGATCTGGCGGAGCGGCTTTTTGTCGAGATCGATGGGGACCTTTGGCGCATTGGGGCTTCTTGGCTCGAATTCTATCATGGCGGGATTGAGTGTTCGCTGTGGCTCGAAATGGACTCCGCCCGCCTTATTATTTGCCTCTGCAATCACAATGAGGGCTTTCCTCGCCGCGTCGACATTCTTCATGATGCTCTCTCCCCACACAAACTTGAACGATATCTCCGAGGTGAGCCATATAACGATTGGCAGGCTGCGGTCCATTGGTATGACTCGACGACGGGGATCGTCCTGCAGGCTGTATTTGTCAATGACTTTGCCGCTTGCATCCCTGCATCCGATGCTGGTGTGGTAGCCCGTCGTCGCGTCTTGGAGAATCAGCTCCCCGGACGGGTAGAGCTGAAAGTAGCATTGCTGGTCGGGCATGCCGCGGAGGTAGAGCACAATGTCGCTCGTTTGTTTCAGTCTGCCGACGGACAAGACACGTCCGGCAAACTTGGACGTGTTCCCAGCCTTGACCCGCAAGCTGAGGGCGCCGTTGTACCGGCTTTGGTAGGAGGTGTTTTCTTCGACGATTTTCCGTGATTCGGCATCCTGTAGTACGAGGTAGAAGAGGACCTCCTTGGCCAAATCAAGAGCGGGAGGAGGCATAATTTCAACGGAATGCCTTTGCGTCGAGGATGGAAATGGCAGCTGAGAAAAGTTCAAGTGTTGGCAGTGCTGGATGTGTATGACTGGAATCGACCCGCGGTTCCTCTTAAGTTGATGTAAAGAGTTGATGAACGGTTGTACAGTTCCGGAAACACTGGCCCTTTTAACCTAGTCACTGACGGGCTTCTGACTTGGATAAAGCTACCTATCTGGATATCTACCTATCCAAGTTACTTAACCAACACACGACCAACCTGCGGCGATCCTATGATTACAGCGCCACTCACGACGAGGCTGGCGGCCCCGTTCGAGACCAGTAACCTGGGCCAGAGTTGACAAATGTAACCATGGGCGCCCTGACTGTGTTTTGGGGGGGGGGGCGAGATGTCTGGGTAGTCAACCCATCTCATTCACCCCTACTGTGAGCGCCGATAGGAGTGAATCTGATGGAATAACTCCGGTCGAGGCACTGTAGGGAACCTCCAGATGCAGGTTGGAGTGATTCCAGACCTAGTCGATATGTTTCATATGCTATTCTGAGAGGAAAGCGGTTGGCCAAACATGAATGATGTTGGACCCTTATGAAGGCGCGTAATTGCATTTGGCACAGTGCACGCTCCTGTTGATACACCGTCTCCATGCATGTTGGAAGCCTGGGCAACCAGCGGGGTTTCCAACATCAACACCACGAAGCCCTTTCCCTTCATCTCATTCACCATACCTTAACAGCTTTTCGATTTGGAACTTGAACAGCTCGTCACCACAAACTGATTTCATTCACTTCACTGTCACTGACAATGACCAACATGGATCTCGACAACCACCACCCAACTATTCCTCTAGACGACGCGCCCATCATCCGGCTCACTGAACATGCGCTTCGTCAACATACGCTTGAGGAGATGCGGCGAAATGGTATTCCGTCGGAAGATCTTTCAGAAAGGCAATGCTCGGTCAGAGATTCCGTTTTGAGAGAGTAGAGGCTGAGCGCAAGGCCAATGGCGAAGAGTTTGCATGGCCTGAACCTACTTCCTCTAGGAGATCAGCTCCCCAGATGCCCAACAGCGAGTCTGAACGGAAGGGGCAAGAAGAAACAGAGAAAATGATGAGCGAGCCTCTAGAACACGATTTAGCGACATTCCGTGAGCCGTCATCCCCGCCGACGACGGTCTATACCGGCAACTGGAAACGCGAACAGGAATATGAAGACCTCCAGAGGGAACTCCGAGAGGCCACCAAGCGCGACCTCAACATACACCCATACAAGCACAAACCCCTGTCAAACTCACAGGACTTTCTCAGTGAGCCTGGCGCTGCCCGACAGCAACTGGCATGTGACGATACCGAACCCTACAATCCACCCGAGGCCGGTAATTCGGAATTCCTGGCTGATCTTCCCCCCCACACGGTCGTGGACGGCTTCGGCGAGCTGGGGGTGTACATGTCCCAGGCGAGCTACGTGATATCACTCGGTGGCTCCGCTCTGCCGGACCTCAAATACGGCATCATCATCGTCCCTGCTGGCGACGAATCGCTTCTGTTTACGGGCTATGGCGACCATGCAGATATGCCTGCAGACTTCCGAGCCGAAATATATGCCAAGAGCAGAGAAGTGAGGAAGCAAGTGTTTGACGAAGAGATAAAAATGTGTGGGAGCTACGTGCCTCGCACAACTCGCCGGGGTGGCCACATGTTTAGACTGCCTCCGATGGAAGAGCCGGAGAAGCTGTTTTATGCGCAGAGGGTTCGAGAGAGCCGGGCTAAACATCGGGAGCTACATGGAACCAGGCGGTCGAGCGATGTCGGATCGCAGCTGTCTGACGGAGCCGAGGCCGAGGCTGGAGCTGTATCATTTTCTGATCAGTACCCTGTTCGGTCCCCTGGTTCCAACAGCTCACAAATGTACATCCATGGCGACTCTATTGCGTTGCCTCCGATCGCAGGGGTTGTTGATGGTCTGCGGCGGTTGTTTGCACAACAACTGCAGCAACAAGAGAAACCTGGGGGTGGGCCAGGGCACGAACTGTACCATCCCGACAAGTTGAATGAGCTCGCGCAGTTTCTTTGGAAGCTTGCCGACGGAAATGTGCTGGAGAACCCCGGGCTGGACAAAGAGGTGTGGAAGAGGTTACATGAAGTGGGAGCCTCCGCTTCCGTGGCAGCAGAGGAGGATATTCCCGCAGATCATGGTATGGACAATAATGACACAACCAAGTCGGTTGAAGAGCAGAGCACTGAAATATGAGCTGGTAAGATAGATATAGATGTCATTGGATTCCCTTTGTCATGTACATTTTGTCCCCTTGCATTGTCGCCGTCTTGGCTAGCTAAGCCTATGGCGCAGTGGGTACGATGGACAGTGAACAGAGTCAGGAGGACAGCCAGGATTCCGTTTAAAATAGTAAAAGCAAGACGGAGAGCTCGCAGTACTCAGTATAAGACACTAACCATGTAATATAATAACCCAACAACGAAGAAGGTATCTTGTAAACCAGAAGACTAATGGTACAGAAAAGCCTTCATAACAACAAATAGTCACCATCAAAACATACCACCCCGACACCTATACCAAAGAAGACAAATAAATCACTCATCACTCAACACCACCTCGCCCCTCTCCCCCACCCCCCACCCCGTCTCATACATACACCTCCCCGCCTCACAATCAGCATGAAACACCATCCCCCCTCCCTCAGCCTGCACCACGCTCGCCCCCCCCCCCGGCGCCGGAAACCGGTAATCCCTCGTCTCCTTTCCCATCAGCTCCCCCATCCTCACCCACGGGCCCTTGATATCCTCCGCTACCGCAAACCGGACATCATACTCAGCAGTATTGTAACAATGCGAGCTATAAAAAAGCACATACTTCCCCTTTCTGGTCTTCACCAAGCTCGGCGCCTCAATCAGCGGCCCGTCCACCTCCTCTATCCGATCCAGTATCGTGATCGCTTCCCCAACAGGGGTAAACCCATCTTTCACATTGACCTCTTGACCTGTTTCCGCACGGCCCTCCTTTGCCTTTGGCGCTCCCGTCCACTTTGTAGATTACACACCGTCTGTTTTGTTCGGTGTCGTAGAATCCAGAAGCGTCGATTGCGCCGCCGTCTGTGTCGGGGCAGGCAAAAGGTTGCATGTGGGGGGTGTACGGACCTAGAATGGAGGTGCGGGAGACTGCCACGCCGATGCAGTGGTAGGGGGAACCGGAGAGGCGGCCGGAGTAGTACATCACGTACGTGTTGTTGCCCGCCAGTGGTGGGGGGAGGTGGTGGATGTCGGGGGCCCAGATTAAAGGGAGGGTGTCGTTTACCCAGTCGCCTGGGCGGGGGAGGAGGTCGATGTCAGACAGAAAAGTCCACCCAGCGTCGGTGGAAGCGGAGGTGAAAGAGGGGAAGTAAGGGGACGAGGTACAGTAGTCCTAGCTGTGATGGTCCTTGTTTCATCCACAAACTACAAGAATTATACTGCACGGTGAACCTGTTCCAGAGATGAAGTATTTGCGCCATTTCTGAACAGTAAGGAGGGTGGAGTGCGACTTGTTACTGCGACACCTTATAAAAGAGTCCGGAAACGGCAAAAAGTTTCCCTCGACCGTGAAGAACAACTATGTCCGGGATCTGACCTCATTGTTCCGTGCTTTTCCAGCAGCGACCTCCCAAGCCCTGCATAGGTAATGCCATGCTTGATCTATGAGGGGGGATGCTGCCGGTGCTGTCATGGTGGCTCAGGCTGACCTCCGGTTCGATGTGGAGAGAAGAAAGGACCCAAAAATGGGCTGCTCAAATGCAGGATATGTTGCAATGGAACCTCGGACTAGGCTTACCGAGTCCATCACAGACAAACTCAGATTTTTTCAAATTTGCTGCCATTTATCCAGCTGCTGTTGGTGACGGGATGCCACCACGGCCTATCTGCTGCCAAGATTTATTCCCGCCGAAGGCTTTGAACCACCCTGTAGACGACTCACCCACATAAAACACATGGCGTATAAAGAGTAGATCACACTCTCAGTGTCAAGATGGCCAAATGTTTTCCACCCTCTTTTCCGTCCACTAACAACTCCCACCGCCGGTAAAAATGAAGCTAATCCCCCTTATTCTTCCCTCCTGCTTGGCCAGCGCTCAGGCTCTAGGTCAACGCCTGAATTTCACCGTCGACGCAACCGGCCGCGGCTGTCCACCGGGCTCTGTATCGGCTACCATTTCCCCTGACGCCCAGGTCATGACTTTTGGTTTCGACAAGCTCCAAGCTTACATCGGCCCAGGTTACGACCTTGCTGCAAGAACATCAAACTGTGGAGTCCATATCACGATCAATCGTCCAAACAGCCACGTGCAGTATGCTGTTGTTGAGAACACCTATCACGGCTATGAGCATCTGGACAAAAGTATCACTCTCACGCTCCTGTCGACGTTGTACCGCTCGGATAACGCGGGGCAGGTGATGACTACATCGGCCGCTATTCCGGGTTCAGGCGTGGGCCAGACATTCACCAGGACGGTGGCTGTTCCGGAGACCGAGTACCTGTGGTCAACATGTGGGAGCAATTCGACTCTGTGGATGTTGAGTGAAAGAATTTCATTGACGAGCAGGGAGAGAGGTGTTGAGGGAAAGTTTCAGGATGAGGGCGAGGGTGTTGTACCGCTGACAAGGCAGCTGCGGCTTCTGTGAGTTTTCATTGTGGTGAGAGCTGAAGGCGGGATGGGAGCCATGCTAACTTGGGAGCAGATATCGCCAGTGCAACTGAGATGGCCGATGCTTGGGAATGTGTATTGCCTTTTGTTTAATCTTCATGCCGAAGGCCCTATGCTGAGGCTTAGCAATGGAAACAAAATTGCTGTAGCTCTCTCTTTCTTCGTTCTAAGGTTATCTAAGCAACTAATGCCTGATGACCATCTTCACAGACTGGACATGCTCCAAAAAGCTTGATACTGAGGGCTAATTAATGTTCAGTCTGAGTCCTCGATTGGCTCGGGTGAAGATTCCTGTTCTTCGGCGTCATTCTCAGCCTCGGAATCATCCTGTTGTTCAGGATCGGAATGGATAAACTCTACTCCGGGATCGTCTTTCTCTGTTTCGTAGGGCCTGGTGGGCGAGGAAACCTGAGCCCATTCTGACTACCTGACCTTCTTCTCTATCTTCGTCTTTTTCCTGCTGGGGTAGCAGTTGGGGGTTGTCTCGACAGTGTTATCAGCCTCCTCGGGCTCGGGCGAGCGCTTTCGTTTGAGAATGCTGGCTCCCTTCTTCTTCCTCTTGAGAATCTTGACGAACTCGAGCTCAAGCTCGGTGTCAGTATCCGAATCGTAGAAATGCCGTATTTGGCGGGTGAGTCCTCCTGAGTTGGCAAGGGTTCATACCCCACACGGCCGCTTTTCTTCCAGACCTCGATACGAGCCATGGTAATGGCCTGTTGTTGACGACACTTTTTGCGGAACTTCCTCAGTTTGGCGGGGGGATCTCCCGATCCTTGTGACAGTGGTAGTACCTCTTGACGGGGGCCTCCAGTTGGTCCTCAAAGAAACCATAGTCGTCAATGAATGGGTCGCTGGAGAGCTTGTGATCGTTGTAGCGGACCCATGTGGTTTTAACAATCCTGGCATCCTCGTCAAAGCCCCCTTCGTCAGAGTCCTCTTGGTCGGAGCCTTCATGGAAAGATGAGCTGTCAAGGAGAGTTGGGAAGTCTTCCTCAGATATCTGTCCCTAAAGCCAGGAATGAAGCGGACATGTCAGAAGACATTGCTGGGCCAAGAAAAGAAAAAGAGATATAATTACCGCGGTGGAGTTTTGGTCTCCTGGAGTCTTTACGATCTGGCCTTCAGCTGTGGAATCCATATTGCTCCTGTGCTGGCCATCCAAACCAATCAACATGTTCTCTGCCGTTTTGTCAGAGCAAATAGGTAAGAAAAAATCTGCAAGTACCATACTGGGAGTGAAGTGAATGAGTTCTCTGATGGATGAATTTCTTTGAAAATGGGGCTGTGGTATTGTGAAGCATTCTTCTTCAGAGTGCTGTCAATAACATGAAGCAGACAGTAACTCGCAGTGAGTGGTGCATGTAAAATGAAAGGAAAGAGGCACAGCACATGCTAAACAAATCCTTATACCATAAAACCTGATCCCACGACCGTGAGTGGCTGATCATGTAGGGCCTCTTCAATGTTATTGTTTAGATACCTTGTAATAGGATTCATACAAAGCCTTTGGTACCGACACGGGAAATATGCGACAATTGTTCTTTGTCTGTCGTCGATCGAGCCCAGCGGCGATGCCAGGTCCAAGTCCGGGTGCCTTGGGCTGCCGGTTTCTTTGTCTGCATCATAGGTAGTCACCACCCACAGATTCCTAATCAACCCGAGCAGGTACAGCGTGCTTCTTGAAACTTTTGATTGAAAAATCTTCAGCTAGCCATTGCACACTGTCTTTACGATGCCGATCACTTTGCCACGAAGCCGCAGGGAGGAGGTGACTGTTCCGGCGATGGAAAAGCTGGCTCCTGTTCACTGTCCACTCCGTGCGGAGACTGACACCCCCGATATTCATGGGAATCGAGGGCTCGCTCGGCATGGCCTTGGGGCGGCGAATAGATGGGGTACAACCCCCGACCAGCTAGTCAAAGCCGACTGGGGATGGACGCGATGGCGATGGCTTCCTCATCCTGCCCCTGTGACACCCTATTCCGTTAGTCACCAGCTCCGGATCCTGAAGCCGCCCAAGGCAGGGATCAGCTCAAGTTTCCGCACCTGGAGGAGATCTACCAACTCTTTTATGGATGTACTATCAAAATCGAGAGATTGGGATGCAGATGTGACCCAGACGAAGAAGTCAAGATATTTAAGCCATTACGACACGTCCTTTGTGCCAGGTTGGGCAAGGGATTTGGAAAGCGACGTTCAAATAATGAGAGACAGATTCAATGAGGTAATCACCAGGCTGCGTGAAGAGAAAGAAGTTGGAAAAGACGGGAGGCCAACATCATCAAGAGTCCTCAACAACTGGTTAAACACGGCGCGAAGGGTACAGGTACCTGGGACTGGAAACATAGTGGTCTCAGGGACAACATCATCAATATCACCTGGAACGAGAACGACACCGGTACCAGGGAGGCAACATCACGAACCTAGGACCCCCTCGGATCAAACAGACCCAGACCCATCGAACCCTGAGCAAGATGAGTCGAGTAAAACACTTGTTGAATCGCCTAATGCGGAGCCGCCGTTACAACTGGTGCTTCGAGCGATAAGAAATGAGCTTGTACTCATCAAGGATGCCTATCAGGATTTGAATGACAAATTCACAAGGTACCACAGATTGGCAACTCAGGGTGGACATCAGCGAGGCCTGGAATCCGAGAGTGAGGGATCTAACGAGGAACCTCAGGCTCCTGAACCGCCTGGTCAGGCATTGGGGCCAACAACACCAGCAGTAACAAGCCAAACAGACCAAATCCTACCGCCATTGGCGCAGTCGATGACGTGGAGGAACAAACACCTAGAACCACAGGAGGCCAAGTGTGAACAACAAGCAAAGCGACAACAACGAGTAATTGACCACTTACTTGACCGAGTAAAAGCACTAAGTAGAGAAAAGAGCCCCAATGAAACCAGCAGCATACTACCCAACAACTCGGCCGACACCAGCATGACCACGGCTGCGTCTCCGCTTCAGACAGCCAGTCAAGCCAACACAGGTGCTCCTGGCACACAACCTTTGACTGGTCAACCAGGAGGAAGTGCTGCAATTGGTAAAATGGTGGAGGAAAAGATGCGGCAGTTTCTCGGCATAGCTGCCACCACAGCTCAAGCTCAGGATGCAAACGTTGCCTCAACGGGTCAGGTCCAAGCTTCAAATACTGCCCCAACAAGCGTGCATGTAGAGACTGCTGCCGGGAGCACCGCCACTAGCACCAATACACCTCCCCAAGGAACTGCAGCCCAAGATCCAGATATTACACAAGCACTCGCTATCCTTGCACAGGCCCTCTCCACCACTGCTATCCAGGTACCTGTCACTGGAACCGCCCCTAATGGCACAGCCTCCGCCGGAATCATCGCCGCTGCCCAAGAACCAAACACAACCCGGGTTCTTGCTATCATCAGAAATGCCCTTGCTGCCACTGGTACTGGCGCACCTCCCACAGCAACAGTAACCACCACGCAGACCGTTTCCACCGGCGCCGACGCACCTTCCCACGCAGTAGTAAACGCAGCAACCAACACTGAAGATCCAAAGACACCGCCTCCTACCACCGAAAGGGTCATCGTCAGGGGTCAAGAGCAAATCCACGCCCTCTTCCGCTCTCTGAGACTTCAAACCAGGCAGTTCAGCTACAGCGCCGCCTTCCAACTCGACAGCCCCATGTTGTTCGAGACAGACGTCCAGAAGAAGAACAGGGAGAAGCCGTTTTGTCCACCTGAGCTTTGGGAAAGGCTGAACCGCGATCAGAGAGCCAATCGGATATGCCAGTTGATTTTCATGTGGCTGTGGCGCCAGATACTCCGACCGGGTGTGGAGAGTTTTGGTGTGAAGCCTGTGACTGCTGAGCCGGAGAGTTCAGAGAGGGGGTCGCAGGAGGAAATAGCGACCCCTTTTCAGAGGTTGAGTCGAGCCATCGCCCCGCTTGGGGATAAGATCTTTCGGACGCTGAGTCCGGTGATTCAGTTCGAGTTTTCTCGAAACGAATACCTTGTTCGGAGGCGGATTTGGAAGTTGTGCCATGATGCTGCGCTGTTGAAGATGATGTTCCGGGAGGGGCCTGGGAAGCAGATGAGGGTTGAGGTACCGGGGGCCCATGGGGACCAGACGGCTGAAAACAAATGGATGGAGCGGGGATTTGACGACTTGACCCATGCTCTTCCCTTCCAGCACTGGGTTCGTGTTATAGACCTGGAGAAGTCCACGGGAAAGAGGGCAATCGTGTGTGTTCCGTTTGGAGCGCTGACGATGGTGGAAGATGGGAAGAAGGTAGTTTTGGAAAGGGCTTGGATAGTTGGAAATGCTAATGAAGGTTCTGGCCTGTTCGTGCTGCAACGGAAGAGTCCCGAAGAAGTAAAAAGAACAGGTCCAGGAACCGAGCACGAAGAGCCAAACGAATTAGATAGCGGCGAGACAGAAGACCGTGATGAGACAGAAGACGCTTGCGAGACAGAACACACTGGCGATGAGGAGATGACTGGCGAAACAGCAAAACCTGTCGAGACAGAAACAATTAGTGAAGGCCCGAAGCCTGATGAGCGGCAGAAGCCCACCAACATCACCCAACAGTCCGAGGTCATTGTTATTTCAAGCGAGGACGCCGATGGTGATGAGTCCGAGTCGGAGTCAGAACACGATGACCTCATGAGGGACCCGACGTGGCGACCAACTGGCTCAACTGGCCAAAGCCAGTCGAGAGAACATTACAAGCGACCCGTTATACAGCTCATCCCGCCAGACGCCATCCTGGACGCTCTTCGTAGGCTGCCACCCTCAACTTTGACTGCAACTGATGTGCCATCACAGCCAACTTCAACAACGTCAACAGATCCTGTACCGACAACGTCATCAGCAGCGATACCCTGGACAAGCTCAACAACCCCTGGTCGAGACGCAGACCTAGATGGCCAGAACAAGAAGAAGAAAAGAAAAAGGCCGAGGATGGAAAGCGACCCGGATTGGATCCCCGGTCAAACCGATGGGGAGACCGAGCCAAGTACTCGGAGAAGGTGAACCTGAAGTTCAGAGGCCATCAAAGAAGCCGCGAGAAACACAAGAGGACGATGAGCTGTGATGACGATGTAGGGTGGTTTAGAAAGGGTTCCCTGCACAGGGCCACGGCTGGAAACACTAAGGAATTCACACCTCTAATTCAAGGCATCTTGTTGCTGTTTACTGAAGTTGTCACATACAAAGCAAAGAGAAAAGATGGTGCGGAAAGAGTGGGTTGATTCTTGAACAGGTTGATTTTCGATCAGGTTGATCTGATTTCGATCAGGTTGATTTGATTTCGAACAGGTCAATTTTCAAGCTGCTTGGTTCGATTTCAAGACGCTTGATGTGATCTCGACTTGCGTGATTTGATCTCAACCCGCCCGATTTGAACTTGACCAGCTTGATTTGATCTTGAGCTGATTTGCTCGCAGATAGCTGGTGATTTGATCAAACTCTGACCCATAGACCCCCTCCATCTGATCTGCCCACAAGTATTTAATTCAGTCCTTGCTCTCTCTCTTTCTCTCTCTTCCTCTCTCTTCCGGAGCTTTTGCTTCTCCCCCCCACCGCACTCACCAAAAGTCGCTCTTTTCAAGCGACTTTTCCTCCTTGACTCCCTTTCAAGACTTCTGTTTCATCCCCCACGAGCATCAGCAAGCTTGTTTGCTGCCTATGATCCACTCTATGATGGCCGAGCTCCATGGCGATGGCATGCCTTTCTCCTGCGCGATCATCACAGTTGTGTATACCAAGGCAAGCGTCTCTGCTCTTCCCAGCGCTCTTTGTGCGGGTGAGTAGGTGAGCTCCGGCTCACTGTCCTCCCCAGGCATATCGTAGCCTCTCAGCTTGTCCTGTGGGCAGGCTCAGGGGTTGTGGGATAAAACGCCCCTCCTATGGAGAGGGCAGAAACACAGGCAAACATTCTTGGTGATTCGATACAGCGCCGGTGGTTGCAAAGGTTTTCTCTCTGGCCGATAGGTCTTCGCGCTGCCCCTGCCTGCCTTCCGTCATCTGCTCGAAAAGGCGGTTGGTGTGTAGATTGTTTAGTTCATTGCTTAATGGGCAGAGGCGCTTGGGACACCGGTCCGACGAACGCGTAAAGGATCCGCGTGATACTGAAAGAACGCCCCCTCCCATGTTTACTGTTGCCGTCTTGCCAGCATGTTTTTTGCTGACTGGGATCTAGCTCATCACAATGCCAGCCCCAACCCATCCACCCCAGATTGCGCAATACATCATCCCGACCGCCGTCCTGCTCGACCGCCAAAAGCAACGCGATCATGAGAAAGAGAGCAAGCCGCACTGGACCGCCAGTTCCGAGGGCGCCAGATGGCACGCGAAATGAAGCTCGCCGAAGTCAAAACCAAGGAGAAGACCGCCGAAACCGAGAGACACACCGAGAGGCACCGTGTCATGTCAGAAATCGACACCAAGACTCACGACCATGCTTTGGTCGTTCGATGTGTAGCTTTCGGGGCACTCGGTCTGTTTTGTTTGTTTCTTCTGTGGCTGGGGAAATTGGCGATGATCTGGTGATTGATGGAAATGGTATTGAAGGGATTGTTTGGTGCACCAAGAAAGACAAGAACAGGAAATGACGACTGTTGATTTGCTGGGCCACAGTTATGTTGTGACGGGTTTTCGATGAATGCATGTCTGTCAGATATCACGGGGTGGCATGAGAGTGGTTCGAGTGACATGATTGCCTTTTGTTAAGAGGGGCAGTTTTTGCACACAAAAAAATAGGCTCGACTAACAGCAGCAGATGGCACCTTCTGGGCAGCCCGTGCCTGTTGCCGGCAGTGCCTGTTGCCAGTGACAGCAAAGTTGCCGAGTGGAAGAGGGGAAAGTGCGTGACAGCAATTGAACTTGACAGCAATCGGCTGATGCCTGACAGGAGTTGAGGGAAGGCAGTTGCACTCGAGGCAGGAGCAAGCAACCGAGTCGGTGGCGGGACGATACGCGAGGCTTGGAGGGATGGTAGTGAGGAAGGAGCAGTGCAGTCGGTTGCTGTCAGCTGGAGACCTGTCCCTGAGGTGGCTCGGGTCAGCAGTGACAAAGCAGGCAGGCATTCCTGGAGCTGTCGGGTGGGGCAGTGGCTGTTTGAAACATCACGACAATTCGTGTCCACGGTTCCTGCCGATCACCTCCGTCCAACTTGTCAAAACACCTCCATGCCGCAGTGGGCTCCAGATTCAAACCCAGTCTCCGGACGCCAAGCCCCGCTTGAGTCCGGACATCCCGGCCGGCCCCATTCTGGAAGGTTTCCCTCTGCTCGGCCTTGGAAGTTGTGATTGCGACCCTAACTGCATTGCGCCTCTGCTGCCTGCAGTTGGTTCTTGCTCCCACTTTGGCCTCATTTCTTCTCAATTGTCAACTGATAGCGGAAAATAATGAACCTCTCCAAGACCTATCGCATCAATAACCTCAACTCGGCCAAATAATACCCCATGAACATGCACCGACGACGGAATCCGGATAGACCCCCGCTGCGGGCGGCAGCCCTACCGACCATACTACCGTTGCCAAGGATCACAAGCGATGCACCGTTGAACCCCATGCCTGTACCTGACGCTATTCCCCGCAGCACATGGTACCGAATGCTTCCGGTTTGTTTCGTTTTCACCTCTGGAGGGAAATGCGACCTTGACATGCGATCTGCTGGGCTCTAGTTCGCCTGCAATCCCAGCCGGTTAATATCAAGCCCGCATTGAATGCCACAACACTTTCGCCCTCTGTATCCATGCACGCTTGGATGCAGATCGGACGAAATCTCTATTTATGCGACCCATGGTTCATCTCAAAAGACTCCCCTGGAACGGGCGACTGACTGGAAAGATGAGATGGTAAATCGCCCCCCTCGCTTTTACCTTCCCCATTTCTTCTTCTTTTTGTTGATAGCTTTTTTCTCCCCCCCCTACCCCCCCCCCCTTTTTTTTTTAGGGGACTAACTCTTGTTTTTGCCAACCTCGTGGAACCTGATGGCGGCATATCGGTAGTGGCCGCCTCACAACCACATCGATTCGGCCAAATGTCAAGACGTTTGGCATTCCACACCAACCAAACCGGGACGACCACATCAGACACGGGTATATGAATGGAATCGAGAGGAGGCATGGAACACACGGTCAGGCCGTTCTCGATCACAGATCGCGGGCCTCCGCTGCTTGCCATTGATGCAGCTGCTCTGGGACTCGCCCTGATCGCCACGCTTTTACGATGTTATGTCCGCATACGACTCGTCCGCGCCTTTGGCGTTGACGACTGGCTGATGGCCGCAGCCATGATCACCTTTTCGGCCTACTGTTCTTTTTCCATCGCCGGCGTCACCTACGGTACCGGACAGCATATCGAGGATCTCCCCCCAGAAAACAATGCGACCGCCAAGAAGGTTAGTTCGTCCCATCTTTAACTCTCTTCAAGGCGTCCAAAAACTGACAAAACACAGTGGTGGTGGTGTTGCTATCTAGCCTACTCGGCCACCATGATCCTCTCCAAGCTCTCCATCGCCTACTTCCTCTTGCGCGTCACCATCAGCCGAGTCCACCGCTGGATCATTTACTTTTCCGCCATCATTACCGTTGCCAGTTGCGCCACCTTCTTTTTCGTGTCACTCTTTCAGTGCTATCCAGTGTATCATTTCTGGACAAAGCACATGGACCCCGACGGCGGGACTTGCATCGACATGCAGGTTGTGATTGGCCTGGCCTACCTCTTCAGTGCCATGAGCATCATGTCGGACTTTACATTCGCTCTTTTACCAGCATGGATTGTGTCACATTTGAACATGCGGACACGGACAAAGGCTGCCTTGATCACCCTCATGGGATTGGGTTGTTTGTATGTTTGTTGCATTCCGACTTTCTTCTCGTCTGCTAACTGTTCGACAGAGCCAGCGCCGCCGTTGTTGTTCGCCTCCCCTATATGCACCACATTGCCAGCGAGGACTTTCTCTACGACACCACCGATATTGCCATTTGGTCCACCGTCGAGCAATGCCTGGCCATCACGGCCGGTTGCCTCGCCACACTGCAACCCCTGGCCAAGTCCATTGGCTACAGGCTAGGACTCACTACGCGTCCGAGCCTTCCCCTCAGCAACAGCGCCTACAAAATGACGGGTGGCGAGATCTCAGTGAGGAGGTCATTTACCAGAAGAACAGAGACCTTCTCGTCGTGCGCCGTCAACCTGCGAGGCATCCCACTCGAGGAGGGTGGTCTGAAGTTGCAGCCGGGAATTTCGGGGTATACCGCCATGTGTTATAACACGAGCGGTGCGGGCAGCCAAGAGGAACTGAGACCAAGTGAAGTCGACAGGCCGGAAATAGGGGGTTCGGACCCGAACCTCAAGGAAGAGGAGGTAATTGCTGTCACTGTAACAGTCAGGGCAAAGGAAGGGAGCCCATAATCTTGCGGTGTTTACTAGGGGCTTTGGATAGAATTTCAACGTCAGCAAATGACTGTACAACAATTGAAAAAAGATATTGCACACTGGATTATTGCAGCCACTGCAGTCAGACGATGTCGGCTCATGACTTGGTTCGCTTCCACATGGAATAATTGTTCACTTTCGGAATAGGGAACGAGTTTCTTTGTCATCAGGTTGCAGGCGGTGCGGTGTTTGAAGAGAAGAAATATATCTTACCGTACTAGGCTGGACCTGGGTCTGCTGTCTGGTGGTTTGATTGCACATGAAGGCTGAGTACGATGGCATCTACAATTCGACAAAACTGCAGCATTTTGTATTCAAAACATTTCTACATGTTAGGTCTTCATATCTTCATTTGTTACTGCTTACTATGAAGCTCACAATGATTCATAATGGTTTGAATGAACATCATTCACCCGTTGCGTTGGAAAAGGGGGTGAGCCAGAATGAATCATCACAGTTGCACGAGCGACCAACCTGCATTATCGGGGGTATAGGTGATCACGGGCTACGATTTTGCAATTGCTTATCGTTTCTATTCCCGCACTTCAAAAGTGGTCAGAGAAAACTCTTACCAGCTTTTGTCTATAGACCAAGCTTGATAGCAGGCAGGTTTGCACACTGCACTGGGCGAGATTCAAGTCCAAAATTGTGACCATGTCCCCACATGCAGGCACCAAGCCAACAGCCCAGCCGACAAGTAAGTGGCTTCCTCACTTCACCTCACCCAATCAACACCAAAGTACCCGGCAGTAAAACACGTCGCAAACTCGCAACTTTTTCTTCCCAGGAAAGCAGCGTCACTCATCTTACCCTGCAATCCTTCTCAGCTCCAAACACCACCATGACAACACAATCCACCACCACCCCTACCGCCCTCCAAATCCCCGAAATCCTCTCCCAAATATTCCTCCACCTCCCCCCTCTCGACCTCATCACAAGCACCACCCGCGTCTCCCGCCTCTGGCACTCCCTCCTCGATACCGACCCCCTCCTCCAGCGCCACCTCTTCTTCTTCCCCGACCCCGCCTGGACCACCTACCCGTCCTTCATCCCCTCTCCACGAAAAATCAACCCCTTCTTCAAGACTGTCTTTTCCCTGTTCTTTCACCCCGCCTTTCTGGGTGAGATGGGTGTCTTTTACGCCGCTCGGGCTTCACAGCCTCATTCAAATGGCAACCCACAAGAGGGAAGGCTGGCGCATTGGAGTGACGAAAAGAGAGAGAGGATGCTGAGAAAGGGTGCGAGCTGGAGGAGGATGGGCTGCTGGAGGGGGGTGCACACCAGGATGGGGTTTATGGAGAGGGAACCGTCCGGGGGGGTGGTCACTGTGCGGGAACAGGCTTATTGCTTTGTGAAAAGGGACGAGGGGGGCGGGTATGGGCATGTCTTGACGATGGGGGACTTTTACGACTGGATTATTGAGGCGTTGGGCACCGTTTCAAAGACGTTGAAGACGAGTGGGCATAATGAGGATCTCAACATGATGGTGTGGGTTATTATCTGGGGGCAGAAGCTGGGCGGTGGTAGTTACGAGAAGGGTGTGGAGGCGTTTTCTCACTGCCGAAGGGTTATCTTGAGAAATGGTGACAAGATCTCGGAGGATGAGCAGGATGAGATGACAAAAGATGGTGCCGCAAACCGAGCGGAGAGGGAGGGACGTGATGCGGAGCATCTACATCAAGAGCGCCAAGGTTTAGCTACGATGATGGACTGTTATGTCGGGCTGGAATGGCGATTCCGGATGCTTTACATGCCACGACCAGACGCAGTGGAAAGCAGAGACAGTCGGGTGGATATCCGAAAGTTCATGAGCGCTGATGGACGTGATGGCTTCCGGACGGTGAACGCACTCGTTCCAGGCCTGGGTCGTTATCACTCCGCATGGGTTGGAGAACCCTCGATTGGCCATCTATTGGTGGGCTAACCGTTCAGATACTGGGGGGAAATAGCATACAAGTCCAGAGAGGTTGGGACATGGATGGGATGAATGATATTGGATGATAACTATATTTGAAGGTTTTTCGAATGGCTAGTAGACGCAGTCGACAAATGTGTGGAAGGTGGGCTAGATTCCAGCCATACGTCCATCCCTTTCACCGGTCCGCACTCACCAGTTGTGCCAAATAGCATAATCAGTGCCGAAAGCAAACGCATCAACGCGATCAGGCCCCCAGGAAGCAACAGCCGGCTTGCTGACTAGAGTCCCACCAAGGCTTCTCCACGGTCTCCAAGCGGTGCCGTCCCAGTATCTATGCCACAACGCGCTGTCAGTTCCAATGACATAGACATCCAGCCTGTTGGCCTGGTCCGAAACCACAACAGGCGTAAACTCCAACACACCACCCAAGCTCTCCCAGCCTGCCCATCTCCGCCCATCCCACCACTTGTGAATCAAGTCCCTCTTCGCACCAACAGCAAAGACATCGATCCTATTCGGCCCCCAAGACACCGCCACAGGGTCGGAATGCAGAGTCCCGCCGAGATTCTCCCATCCGCTGTTCCATCTGCTCCCATCCCACCACTTATGCTGGAGAGAAGAGTCCTGAGCCGAGACGGCAAACAGGTCAAGACGGTTGGCAGACCAAGCAGTCGTCGAGGTGGGACCCTTCATGCGACCGCCCATCGACTCCCAGCCTCCCCATGCGCGCCTGTTCCACCATCTATGCCAGATGGCCGAATCCTTGCCTTTGGCAAACACATCCAGACGGTTGGGACCCCAGGCCACGACGGACGGGTCACCCTCGATCTGGCCTCCAAGATCCTCGAAGCCACCCCAGCTGCGGCCATCCCACCACTTGTGGCTTTTATCACAGCGTAAGCATGTGTTCACAAAGGGGGAAAATAAAAAGCCCACACATGAGTGAACTGTTGACCCCAACAGAGAAGAGATCGAGCCTGTTGGGACCCCACGCAGCGGGGATAGGTGAAGAGGTGAGCTGTCCACCAAGGAACTCCCAGTTATTCCACGAGCGGCCGTCCCACCAACGGTGCCACATGGCGCTGTCGAGCCCGACGCCAAAGAGGTCGAGACGGTTGGGTCCCCAGGCGACGACAGAGGGAGCATAGGGGGCAAAAGTTCCACCAAGGGACTCCCAACGGCCAGGGACCGTGAGACGGGGAGAGAGATTGCCGGGGTGGGCAGAAACGAAGGAGAGGCTTGCGCCCAGGAGGAGAGCGGTGGCGGAGACCATCTTCGGGAAGCTTGAGGCTGGAACTATGGCTTACTCGAGCCGGTGTGGATGGAAGGAGAGCCCCTTGGATGAGCTGTCGGAGGGGATTTTATAGATGGCAAAACATCGCGAGACTCGCCATGACGGTGGTTTTAGTGAATATGGTCGTCTCAATGCGGACCCAATGTTCAAGACCCTGCAACAAGGTGCAAGCTGAGGTGAGTCTTTGAGGAACGTTGATTAACCCTGCATGGCGGTGAAATCCCCGAATTCTTAAAGTTGGGGTCTTTCATGACGAAGTTGTGCTGGCATGCTGACCCTATATTGTCTCTGTCGGACAAATTGGACTGGGGGAAATTCACTCATAGAGCGGTCGAATACAATCAGTCACACAAGCCTTGGGAAAGCGAGACAGAGCTTTGTCAGCCACACATACCTTACCCATTCATATATTGGAAGCACAAATCTTGAGTCACCTGCCTATGATTATGAGACTGCTACTTGCCATACTCATGACTCGTGTCGACACCATGATGCGGCGATTCATCGGTTGCTACAATAGCACGAGTATTCCAGCAGGATGATCAGTATAACAAGATGGAGTCGTGATCATTCAATCATGTAAAGGTTGGTGGAGCTGGGCGGAGTTGACAATGGCTGCGGACAAAGAGGAGAAAAGACTGCAGCGTGACATCAGGCGTGATCCTGGCATCCCCAGGTCACACACACCTTTGGCTGTTTCTAGCACCATCACCGACCGAGGCAGCATTGGATCGCTGATCAAGCCACTAAACCGTTGCAATCTCACAACCCCGCAGATCTTGTCTCAGAGCAGGAAGACGCGCCAAGTGTCGCCAAGAAACCTTTTCCAGTTGAAGATGGCCCAACAAATTTCGTCTTGTTATGAGCGTCATCATCCAGCCAAACCGAACACGAAATGCGAATTCATCAGGGACAATGCAGCTTGCTAAAACTTTGGGTGAGGGAAGCCATTGGACAAGGCGAAAAAACGGATCCGATTTACCCCAGAAAGCTTGGATCTAATGCGACGAGATTGGCAAAACGCCGCTGATCACCCCCCTGTTCAGGCATAACTTCGCAGCATCTCAATGAGGAGAGCATCACCGACCAGGGCAGTACCAAGCCCCTGGGAAGCGCACATGTCACGATGTTGCATGTGCTTTCTTGCGGACACAAAATCCTCGGCAACCCCTCAGACGGGAGACTGCAGACAGCAGCATCCTCTCCTCGGCTGCCCCCTCTCACCACCCTCCCCGCTCTGACATGTTTCTCCAACGTGTCCTGGCCCTCGGGGCTGCATGTGCAAGCCTCAGCCTCGTTCGCGCCGTTGACCTCACGGGCTACGAGTACGTAGTAGTTGGTTCCGGCGCAGGAGGTGGCCCTCTGGCTGCGCGTCTTGCCCTTGCCGGTCACAAAACACTCTTGATCGAGGCCGGCGACGATCAGGGACAGAGCATCAACTACACCGTACCAGCATACCATGCACGAGTATCCGAAGACCCCAAGCTTGCTTGGAACTTCTTCGTCCGTCACTATGCCGACGACGAACGCCAGGCAAGAGACTGGAAGACCAGCTACGACACACCAGATGGCACCATCTACTCTGGCCTCAACCCTCCTAAAGGGTCCAAGATGAAGGGTGTTCTCTACCCCAGGACTGGATCACTTGGCGGGTGCACTTCGCACAATGCCATGGTGGCCGTGTATCCTCACGAGTCTGATTTTAACTACATCAGCACCCTTACGGGGGATAGCTCATGGCGGCCCGACAATATGCGCAAGTACTTTGCCCGGATGGAGAGGAAGCAGTATATCAACGGTCTTTACAAGGGACATGGAAGAGATGGTTGGTTCACCACCGAGGTTGCCCCCCTGACCATTCCCCTCAAAGATCCTCAACTGCTGGCCACCCTGACCGGCGGTGCTTCTGCCCTCGGAAGCCTCAGCAACCAGATCTTGAACGTCGGCACTCTTCTCGCAGGCGACCTCAATGCGGACAGCAGTCTCCGTGATAGACAGCCTGCCTACTACCAGATCCCCATCAGCACCGACAAGGGAACCCGTCTCGGAACCCGCGAGTTTGTCGTCTCCGTCCGGGACGCCAAGAACCCTGACGGCAGCAAGAAGTACCCTCTCGATGTTCGCCTCAATTGCCATGTCACCAAGGTCATCTTCGACAAGAAGTCTTCCCCTCCCAGGGCCATTGGTGTGGAGTTCCTCGACGGCGCCTACCTCTACCGCGCCAGCCCTCTGTCCACTGGAGCCAAGGGAACCCCCGGGTCTGCCCGCGCCTCGAGAGAGGTCATTCTCGCCGGCGGCACCTACAACTCGCCCCAGCTTCTCAAGCTCTCTGGCATTGGCCCCAAGGACGAGCTCAAATCTTTCAACATCCCCGTCCTCGTCGATCTTCCTGGTGTCGGCGCCAACCTCCAGGACCACTACGAGACGGCGGTGACAGCCCGCGCTCCCCGTTCCTACAACGCCCTCAAGGACTGCACGTTCCTCTTCAACACCACCGACGACCCCTGCCTCGACAAATGGCAGCGTCCCATCCTCGGTGACCGCGGCACCTACGCCTCCAACGGCTTCGCGGCCGCCATGCTCTCCAAGTCCACCACCACCCCGGACGGCTCCTTCGACACGTTTGTCTTTGGCGGCCCGGTCAACTTCCACGGGTACTACCCGGGCTACAGCTACGCCGCCGTTGCCGAGTCCGACCTCTGGACCTGGGCCGTCCTCAAGGCTCACCCCCGCAACACGGCCGGTTTTGTGCGCCTTCGGTCCGCCGACCCGTTGGACGTGCCCGAGATTAACTACAACTACTTCGACACCGGCAGTGGAGACTGGAGGGCGGATATCCAGACTATTGTTGAGGGTATTGAGCTCGCGCGGGAGGCGCTGCGCAAGCAGCCTGTCCGGACGAACGAGATTCTCCCTGGTGCGGGGACGAATACGAGAGAGGAGCTGGAAGCTTACATCAAGGATACTAGCTGGGGTCATCACGCCAGCTCGACCTGCCCTATTGGTCCTGACGGTGACCCGATGGCCGTGCTGGACAGCAAGTTCCGGGTCAGAGGCGTGAAGGGGTTGAGGGTGGTCGATGCTAGTGTGTATCCCAGGATTCCGGGAACATTCACTGCTGTGTCGACCATGATGGTGGCCGAAAAGGCTGCGGATGACATTCTGGCCGAGGCCAACTGAGTAGGTGGTTTTGAAGTTGGGCGGTTCGATGTTAATGTATGTATCGTAATAATGTATTTAAGAGCATGACGTAAATAAACTTGAATAGGGACATTGTTGAGGAGTTACTAAGCTCCCGAAGAGCTGCTCTGGTTGGGAATTGCTCAGGTGAAAGAAGTTGTGTACCTAGTCTCTTGTGTCAATACAACTCTCAACACGAGCTTTTGAGCTCGAGCATGGCAAGGGTGCCCACGAATTCTTGGGAAAGCATATTTATCCACTCTTCCATATCCAGCAAGACTTCCTTTTCGGGACCGGGGAAAAAGATCATTGGCTGACGGTGATATTGGTGCTGACGTAGGTAGACAGATGCGATTACTCACCACCACTTCAAGATTCGCCGCTGAGCCGGAATTCGAGATATCATCAGCCCACTCAACCTACATGTAAGCACCACTATGCAACCTCGTGTCTTCCAGAATTCTCGTACTGATGCTTAGCGTGCTCTCGTGATGGCCGTGCCTTAGCGGTCCTGCGAAACACCGCCTCGTAGCAACGTTACTACTTCACGAACTTCCGAAATCGATCATCGTGATACTGAGACTATTGAAAATATCAGGAATGTTGAGAAACGTATGAGGATGGTGGCGGACCGCTATAAGAAGTTGAAGGCATAGCGTGAAGGCATCGCCAGGTATAAAAAGGATGCTTCCAGCTGTGTCAAGAGTTCCCTTCTCTCAATCAGCACGCAACAAGTCAACATTGGATTCAATACCTACTCAACTGACATTCAATATCCCCAAGCTTCATAGCTGAACACTAAAATATCCAAGATGAAGTCCTTCGCCGCCATCATTCTCACCGCCCTGCTCGGCTCTGCCGTCGCTGCTCCCCTTGAGCCCCGTGTCGATGCTCAGGAGTTTGACGTCTCCGAGTTTACCGCCGGCTGCATCCCCCACGGAACTCTCTGCACGTATGCTTTCCCCTCCCACCTCCTTCACGCTCTCTTCTAACCTCTCTCCACAGCATTCGATTCAAGGTAGCCACCAACCAGATGCCCTACGCCACCGAGTGCGGCTTCTCTGGCACGCCGCTCGGCTCCAGCTCTCTTCCCGACACCGGATTCGCCACATGTACCGACCCGAGCATCATCTGGTCGTTCCGTCGCGTCCAGACTGCTAATGCAACCGGGTCTGCTCCCTTTTACGAGCTTGCTCTGTCCAACGCGGGTCAGAATATTGCTGCGGCCAAGTTCTGGCCTGCATCGGCTTTTCCCATCTTGCAGTCGGGCGCATCGTTTTATCAGCAGTATAATGGCGAGCAGAGGTTTGTCATTCATCAATGAGGGATTGCTGTTGGGGGTCATGGTAACCCGCTGGTATAGATGATCGTGTGGCTAGGAGGAAGATGATGGAAGCACGTTACCGCATAGACAAGTGGGGGAAGCAAGGCAGGGGATAGAGGCGAATAAAGTGACGGGATCTCATCTTGTTTGTTTGTGATAGTCCCAGCCTAAGCGCATAAATGCCGCCCATTGAAAGTCCTATTCTGAACACGGGAAAGGGCACCTTACCGACTTTACGTATGCATGGTCCTCTGCCCAGCAGCGAAGAGTCCACTCTTTGATTCACACTGTGAAGGATGCATTGCATCGCCTCACTTTTTCTTTAGTAAGCCTCATTGAAAGGTAGGTAGGTTTCTCAGTCATCGATCATTGCATCTGCCATCTCTTGAACACTAATACTTCACTTAATTGCATGTAATTTTTGTTGGAAACCAGATAGATAGTAGGAGGGGCCTAGAGGTACCTACCTCCTAGATACCTATCTGCACACCGGAACAAGGGGAAGCCCATTCCCAGCCTCAATCCATCATCGTGGCTCATCGCGGCTGCAAAAACAGCCCGAAATGTGGCCCAACACAGGAAGGCCAACTGCAGTCGGGCGGGATGTGAACGAACCAATCACCTACGACAATCACATGAAGCGTTTGTCCAATATGTTCCGCTGTCTTTCCGGGTCGGCTGGGCACCTTGCTGGTACAGTCTCTATATGGCCAAAAAAAACCTCTTGGTATGCATCGAGGCCTACAATTGCGCACTATGCAACTCATAGCAGATTGCTGATCCATCACCTTCAGTCTTACAAATACCCATTTTCATCTCTCTCTCTCTCTCTCTCTCTTTTTCTCCTCTTCTCTACTCTTCTCTCCTCTTCACTCTTTTCCCTCTCCAACACTCGTTGCCAACCTACCGAAGGTAGTCAGCTTTTCCTTTCCAGTGTCATCTTTCTCGGCCTATTTGCGTGGCCTGCCTCTGTCTCTTGGGCTTTACAGGCCTCTCTCATCATTGCGCAATGGTGGCTTTCGAGAGTGAGGTCCTGAGCAAGCTATGCTCCCAGGATCAGCTCGAACTCCTTGACGCCATCGATCAGCTTCGCTTAAACGGGATCAACAACTATGTTTCCCTTCCTCAAATCATCGTGTGTGGAGATCAATCTTCAGGCAAAAGCTCCGTGCTACAGGCCATCTCGGGGGTGTCGTTCCCAGTCAATGGAAACCTCTGCACTCGCTTTCCTACCGAGTTAGTTTTGCGCCGGACACCCCACGTAAGCGCCAAAGTATCTATCGTCCCAAGCGACTCTCGGACCGAATCTGAACAGGCTTCGCTGCGTGGATTCCAGGAACACCTAGACGACTTTGCGGGTCTCCCCAAGCTGATCGACGAGGCTAAGCTTGCGATGGGCATTTCAACACATGGTGAAGCCTTCGCCAAAGACATCCTCAGGGTTGAAATCACAGGTCCTGACCGTCCGCACCTCACCATCGTTGATCTGCCTGGTCTCATTCACTCTCCGACAAAGCAGCAGTCGGCCTCCGATGTTGAGCTTATCCAAGAAGTTGTGCAGGGCTATATGAACGAGCCCAGGTGCATCATCTTGGCTGTCGTCTCTGCCAAGAATGACTTTGCCAACCAGGTGGTCCTCAAGCTGGCGCGTGCCGTGGACAGCATTGGTAGTCGGACATTGGGGGTCATCACAAAGCCCGATGACTTGACCCCAGGATCTGACCGTGAAGCTCTTTATCTATCTCTCGCAAGAAACCAGCAATTCGAGTTCCGCCTTGGCTGGCATGTACTGAGGAATATGGATTCTGAGAAAGGCACTTCAACTCTGGGTGAGCGTGATGCCAACGAAGCAGAGTTCTTCCGCAAAGGTTCCTGGACCGGGTTGCTCTTTTCTCATCTCGGCATTTCCAACTTGAGGACTCGTCTAAGCAAGGTTCTTCTGGGACAGATTGCAGCTGAACTCCCAAGCTTGCTGAGCGAGATTGACGAAAAGTTCAAAGCCTGTCAACTTCAGCTCGAAACGCTCGGCCAACCCAGAGATTCGCCTGACGAACAAAGACGGTACCTCCTTCACCTAAGCCAGGCGTTCCAGGCTTTAGTTACGGCTTCAACGAGCGGCAGTTACAACGGCGAGTTCTTCGAGGACGCAATGACAGCGGTTGGATATAAACAGCGCATCCGAGCTGTCATCCAGAACCTCAATGAAGCGTTCGCCAAGGAGTTGGCAAAGGCGGAGCATTTTCGGGTCATTGGGGATTTTGAGTCAACATCAAACCTCGGGGCTTCGCTTAAACCACGGCAGGTGACGAGGGATGAATTTTTGAACCACATTGAGGAGGTGATTCGGAGGACCCGTGGACGGGAGCTGCCGGGCACGTTCAACCCACTGGTTGTTGTGACGCTTTTTCATGAGCAATCTCAGCACTGGGAACAGGTTGCTCGCCAGCATGTCGAGAAGATGTGGCGAGCTGCTGGTCGCTTTCTAGAGTTGGTCATCGATCACATTGCAGACCGCTCAACCTCTCGTGGGTTGAAGAACGAGATCTCTGGGCCTGCCATGCAAAGAATCAGGAGGGAGGTAGCCGACAAGACCGCCGAGCTGGTTGCACCGCATCAAAAGGGTCATCCCATCACATACAACCATTATTTCACCGAAACGCTCCAGAAGGTCCGGCGCGAGAGGGACTCCAAGAGGACAGCGAGAATTCTCCGTAACTTCTTCCAGATTTCTGACACAAATGATTTAACCAGCGTGCTGATTGCGCATCCTGACTCCGGCGATGTTGCTGTGTGGGATATCCAGAGCTTGGTTACGTCCCTTGCCGACACCAACGAGCCAGATATGTGCCGCTTTGCAGCCAACGAAGCTTTGGATTGCCTGAACGCCTACTATAAGGTGAGAACTTGCACTCTCCCTCTCTCCACTATATTTGCCTCAAGTACAATTTTTAACGGTCGACGTCATCACTTTTTTAGGTTGCCTTGAAACGTTTCGTTGATGATGTTGCTGTTGAGGTCATTGAGACAAAGCTCATCTCTGTTTTGCACAACATTCTCTCCCCACTCGGCGTGTATGAGATGTCAGCCACGCTGATTTCTCGCATCGCGGGAGAGTCCGAAGAGAATCGCGCCGAACGTGAACAGCTTACCAAACAGCTTAATGTCTTGCGAAACGGTCTTGAGACTTGTAAGAGGTTCGCGGGGTTTCGGGCCAGTGGTGGTAAGCTTGATGTCTCATGTTTGTATTCGAGTTCACCGTGTGCTTTGTTTCTGACTCGCTTCTCAGACTCAGTATTTGTGTCTATCAAGGCAGCTGGCAATTCCCCTATGACTGGCGACTACGATAGCGACATGGAATCTCTGGTGAAGATAGAAGAAACCGATGCACAGCGAGAACGGGAAACATCTTCTATTAGGTCACCTCCCATCTCGCTAGAAGAGCCAGAACCGGGACCGGAAGTAGAGCTTGAGCCGGAGCCTGAGCCGGAGCCGGAGCCGGAGCCAGAAGAGTACAACTGGTCTCCGCGAGTTCAGAACAAGAAAAGGGCTAGGAGGCCAGGGAAGATACAGTATTAGAGTCACAGTGCTGGGCGTCGAATATCACGCAGGTGGAGGACAAACTGGAGCTACTAGTGATGCGGAATGGGGACTCGGGAAGTGCTCTCAAAACTATGGGAGTTTTAGCACTTTTTCTAATGGGATCCTATGCATCTGCCATGGCTCATCCAATCCAAGCCGATAGAGTTTCTAGGTCGAGACATGGAATCCGCGCTGCTAAATGTTAAAGTGCTTACTCGTGGCGAAAACTACCTACCCACACTCTTCAAGGCTGTTCTGAAAAGCCATATTACCCAGGGTAAATGGAAGCCGTTATACAGTTCCCAGAGGTAAATGATGCTGTTCATACGTAGGAAGCGTGGACCTGTTTACTCCATACATATCATCAATGATGCTTCAAGCCCCAGTGAATCCTACCCTGAAACGCCGGGCACGATTGGCTGGATCATGTATGCTGTCTTGGCCTGGATACCTTCCTCTTCAAGACTTGGTTTCGACTGGTTCTGTCACATGTACCGGGTACCAGGTCATTTTCTTGATATGACACTCTCACGATTTCCATGTTGACTTTCCAGAAGCAACGCGTATCAAGCTGAGAAATGCGCGCTAACAGAGTTGGCCAGCTAGGCAGCAAGCAGCCCCCACCCAACAACCAACCATTGCTAACCATGATCTGTCAAGCCTCACAAAACAACACTTCACTTGCCCGAACAAGGCTCTTCCAGCTTGTCGAGTAGCTCATCATGAGTCTCATTGCTGCCCGCACTCGGGCTCAAAGAAAGCAGCTCGCCGGCAGCACAAGCGGCACAGAAATCCATCTCGCTGATGAGACAGAAACACCAGCCCCACCACTGCCATCCCAACCCGCAGCAAAGCCCAACATCACAGCCCTCCCCACCAAACCACCAATCAGCCTGACGCGTCTACCACGCGACGACCACAACCTCCTCCTCAAAAAGCAACACTTCCTCCAAAAATACGCGATCACCGTCCCCAGAACCCTCAAGCGGAATGCGCCCCACGCCGTCTCAGCAACACTCGTCTTTGCCCAGCAAGAGGCCGGCACAGCCGTGTGTATTCACCCCTCGGGCCTCCTACTAACATGTGCACACTGCGTAGCGGGGGACGAGACTGAGTTGGATCTGGCAAAGGTCCACTGGCTTCTCTTCGCGTCTGGCAGGGCTGTGTCTGCCAAGTGTCTGGCGTGGGATTCGCAGAGGGACCTTGCGCTGTTGCAGGTCACCGCGGCTTCAGCAGCAGCGCCTGGGGATCTCCCAGAAGGCGTTTCTTTCCCATCAGTGACACTAGCAGATGGGGCACCCCAGCTCGGGGCAGGCTTGGTCTGTATTGGCCACCCTGGCAGTGAAGACCTCGAAGGCAGTGAGGCGGGAGTATCGACGGGGTATGATGTGCTGCATCTTAGCAGCGGGTCATTCTGCGGGTATGCCGAGGGACAGGATGTGCAGGACAACTCTGAGATTGGGGCGTTGCAACATGATTGTTGGACGTATTGGGGCCACAGCGGCGCCCCGTTGTTGGACGCCAGGACGGGGAAGCTTGTTGGGATGCACTCTTCTTGGGATGATGAGACTGGTATGAGGAGGGGGGTTGCGCTGGAGGCGATTAAGATGTTTTTGAAGGCACGTGTTTGAAGACGGTTGTCCGTGATAGATCATGTCGTTTATATCATCCACAGTTTCTACGAGCTTTCCCCCCCCTCGTCAAGGTTCATGTTGTGGTCCCAAAGAAAGTTGTCCGGGAATACCACATCCAAGCTATCAAGATGCGAAATTTCCAGGGATGCTGCTTGCAGGAGGTCAAATTCAGTGTTAAGCAAGTCGAGGCTGTCCTCAAATGGCGCTGTCGTTGTTCTTTCATGCCTCGATGTCCCTTCCGAGAAACGACTAGTCTGGTCTGCAGTTGAATCGTCGATGCTGAACAGATCACCATCGCGATCGTAGTGAAGAAGAGATGTTGGCTCCTCTATGTAGACAGGTGCGTTGTTGGCCTGAATCAGCGGCGTACTGTCAGATGGGACCATAATGTTGTCTGATGTGTTTGGAACCAGGCCTGCATAGTCCGGTACGTTTGACCATAGAACACTTGACTCAATCGTGGCGGTGGTAAAAGGATCGAGTGAGTGATAACTCTGAACGGCTTCTATGTGGTTAGGAGTGGTGAAAGAAGCCTCAGGCGCAGTCTGTTGATCCTGCTGCGTGGTTGTGTCGGCCGTCAGGTCCATCAAGGCCGGAGTGCTGTATTCCTGTGTATCCGTACTGCTTGGTGGTGCCCATGCAAGGTCAGGCTCAGAGCCAGTTTGAAGAAGCTGTGGGTTCTCCTGTAAGGGCGAAGGCGCAGCCGTGCGCTGGGCGTGTCCTCCTGGAGAAGCCCAACGGTCATAGATTCTGGCGATGAATGTTTGAAGAAGTTGTCTTTCTTGCATCAACCCCGGATGAAATCCGAGACTCTCTCCTGTCTCTCGAATAATGTCTGAACCTCGCTGGTTGAAAAATTCCAGAAACGAACTGAGGTCCTCTGATATCGTGCTGTCCACGTAGGGCGAACTGGGCTTCGGTGTTTCTGGAAAAAAAATGTCCCAGATTGTATACCACTGGCTCTCAAGGGAGAGCTTTGGGTTTGCTCTACTTTCCCTGGGCGCCTTCTGCTGTAGCTCAGATAGCCACTTGGCCTGAAAGACAACCTTGTCGCATGGTTGATCCCGTTTATAGTGTAGGTCCAATTCCCCGGCATTTTCAAACTCCGCGCCACACCGAACACAGTAGCTTCTGCAATGGCTTCTCCTCAAATGTTGTTTGACGTCCCGAATTCTCTTTAGTTTGTACCGAAAACATTCTCCAGTGACTGGAATCCTCTTTCCAGAAAGGACACGCCAGCAAACGGCTCGGCGAATCTGCATCTGATGGTGTCGGCTTGGGGCGAGGACCACATCTACGCCGCTCTTCGGGGTTTTCATCGCCGGAATCATCGTCGAGCTCTGAGTGTAGCCGTTTTCTTGATGACCCTGTTGCGCCACTTCGTTGCTTCTGGCTTTCATCTCGTTTGTCCGGCTCCGCACCTGCATTAGACCCTGACTCACTTGCAGAGTTTTGGTATTCTCTTTTCCACCCTTCATAACCCCGCTCAAGAGCGGCCAAAAATACACTATTGGTGTTTGTCTCCAACAGCTGAGTCCACATCTGAGGGGGTGGAAGGATATCCCCGGGATCGTAGGTCTCAAGGGGATCCGAATCATCTTCCCACTCCGAGTTTCCTATGTCCTCGTGGTCGGTCAACGGAGTCGTTGTCGAGCTGCCTCTAGATTTTGGCGAAGGGAACCCACTCCACGAAGGATAAGATGGAGTGCGTGGGCTAAACGTCTTATACGTGGCTGTTGAAGCTGATGGGGAGACATTTTCAGAAGCTGAGGTTGATTCAGGTGACTCGCTCATATACTGGGCTAGAGCTGGTGTACCGTGTGATTTTGATGGGATTTGCGAGTTGAATTTCGAGTCATAGGGTTCGGGCTCCCTACAACCTTTTATCCAGCATTTTTCAACTGGACAGTGCACACAGAGCACGTGCTGACACGATACTTCCATGCAAACCAATGCTACAGTCGGTACCATCATACCAAAGCCACAGCGGCACTACTGCGTGTCAGCGGTGTTCCTGTTAACCGCAAACAATTGAGACGTCTCGATTGTCACCAAGCCTAGCTCGGATATTGCCAACTACTCACACAAGCCCAAAACTCCTCCATGTCCTCGGTAGGCATCTTGTCGGTGAGGTACCTATGTCGCCTTACAACTTTCTCAAGTCAGCATGAGATGTTGTCTAAATCGTCGTTCCCTTGTTTTGGCTGATTATAGATATCAGAAATTCTGATTTCAAATCTCAAGCCTGGTGGTATACCGTATGGCCATGAAAGTTGCTGTTGTCGTCACTAACGATTTATCACAGTTCAGAGTCCTAATTTTTGTTGGCTTTTGCCATCGCTCAACTTCAGCTGGCGCGACCTGCATGAGTAGTAACAGGTCAAGAGCACAGTTGTGCTCTCCGTTAGCAGATCGGATGAACCAATCATTTTTGGTATTTGATACAGCTCTTATGGGAGGTGCATTTCCACGTTCCTAACTGGATACACGAAAAGTCTACCCCCGAAATGGAGGAAAACAAAGTCTTGGGTCTATGAACAGTGGAACGATAGTATCACTTGCAGGTCTGGCTCATTGAGGGAGGGAGGTCGATTCAGGGGTATACTCAGGGGCTAGACCCACTGTGTATTATCTCCTCGTCTTGGCCTCAATGGGTGAAAGGACCCAAGACCGAGTGGTTGGTCATGCGCTGACATGTAGCAAGGGTGAAATCCAATATTTCTTTAGATAAACCAAACTATCCTCAATTTGTCCGTGTTGGGAAACCGTCCATGATGATGGCGGAATTCCGCAACCCTAACCCGAATGCAAAGACTTTGTTTGGAAAGGTGGGGTACACGCGTCATTCAGTGGTGGATTTGTCAGTGACCCAATAGGACCGCCTCGCATCCCTTGACATCGACCTATATAACATGATCCATCCTGATCAAGAACACATAGCCCACACTGTCACACCACCTGTACTCACGTATATCAGCATCTGATTTCCAGATTTCTTCTTCTCGAGCCTGTTCCCCCTAACAGCTTAATCGCAACCATGGCATCCACTATCCCCACGACAATGAAAGCGCACATCTACACCAACACCTCACCAACATTAGAGGCCAACCTCTCCATCTCAACATCAGTCCCAACTCCGACTGTATCTGGACCCAATGAACTGCTGATTCAGGTCTTGTCAGCATCCATCAACCCAGCCGACCACAAAGTCCCAGAGCTGCCCGGCCCTGTCCGACGGCTAGTCATCAAGACGCCTGCCACCCCTGGCATGGACTTTTGTGGCCGTGTGGTTCAAGCTGGGACAAAGGTTGACTCAATTGCACTGGGAGATATTGTATACGGTCGCTTGGGACCTAAACAGCATGGATCTCTCGGAGAGTACATCATCGCGCCAGCCAACGCTGTTGCCGTCCTTCCCAAGGAGGGTGTGACAGTCGACGAGGCGGCTGCCATTGGAGTGGCAGGACTGACTGCCTACCGTATGTCCCGCTTTTTCCATTTAATATCACCCATCTCACTAACAACTATCTTGTAGAGGCAATCCAGCCCAATGTCAAAAAAGGCGACAAGATTTTCATCAACGGTAGCTCGGGTGGTGTCGGCTGCTTTGCCGTGCAAATCGCCAAGGTTTTGGGCTGTCACGTCACCGCCTCATGTTCACCGGCCAAGGCCGAGCTCGTCAAATCGCTGGGTGCCGACGAGATCATCGACTACACCACCACAGACGTCTGCGAGTACTTGCGTGCCAAAGGAAAGGTATTCGCGCAGGTTCTGGACAACGTGGGCACGCCCGACAACCTGTACAAAGCGTCTGATGACTTCCTCATTGCAGGCGGGAAGTTTGTACAGGTTGGGAGCCCGTTGTCGCTCGGCGCGCTTCGATCCGCGGCCTCCAGGGCGCTGCTGCCGTCTTTCTTGGGAGGGGGCAAGAGCAAGTACGAAGTTTACACCATTCGGGATTCTGCGGAGGACCTGAAGGTGCTTGGGCAGTGGATCAAGGAGAAGAAGATCAAGGTTGTGATTGAACAGACGTATGAATTTGAGGATGTACCGAAAGCCTTTGCCAAGTTGAGGACGGGAAAGAGCGCGGGGAAGCTGGTGATCCATGTTGGAAAGTGAGCTTATTTATGTCTCTGGCACGATCATCGGGGTGACTCTGGCTGTCGTTTTGCGTTGTTTGTTTCAATTACGGGGTACATATACGAAGCGATGGTCTTCTTCATCAACGCAAGACGGATTTCCCTCGTTTATTCTATTTTATCATAGTGGACTCTACCTTACTCCAGACACAAGATACCTACAGTTCCTCGCTAGTACAGTACAACAGTGTTACAAGAGGCAACCACGACAGATCGACAGAGTGTGACAACGCTTAGTAAACTACCTGCGTCAGCTGAAGCCTTCAATTTACACTCGGCAAATGGACTTGTCCCAAACACGCAAGCCTAGCCGAAGTAGAGCTTATTCATCCCATAGCCTCACCTGCACCACTGAAGTTATTTTGCTCTGAAAGCTGTACCTGGAATGACAGTCACCGCTCTTCTTCATGGGAGCGAAGTCAGCAAAGCACACCGAAGGGCGTGGCAAGTGGTATTCGCCTACTTGCCTATTTATGCCAAAGTCGCCTCTGGTCAGATATCGTCGTAGCACAACTACACAGGCCTTGTCCTCGGTCTCCGAGGGTGAAGCATAGGAACGTGCTTCGGTTGGTTAGTTACCCCTATCATGACCCAACTCTACCGAGTCTATTGGTCACCACATGGAAGTATGATTTCACTAGGGTCTCCTTTTCATGGAAGCTTTTCCGCGGCCCGGGGATGTGACAAAACTTCTCTGTGGAGAGGGAAGTCGCTTTGAGGGGCCACACAATGAAGAAAGACTAAAGAATGTGAGGAAGGCAGCCTGGGAAACTGCATAAATACCACCTTCTTTACCCTCCCCCTCCCTATACTGTCTACTCCTCTTCATCCAATACAGTACTTACCAGACATAACACGACAATCACCAATCTTCAGAATGCTCGCGCAAAATCTCCTCCTGCTCATCGCAGCCAACCTCGTGGCATCCATTCCCGCCCTCGATAACTCCCCCAAGCCCATCAACCTCGAGGCAACCGAGCTGCAGCGTCGGTCCGCCTGCGCAGTTGCCGGCGTGGTCAACGGCCAGTGTGGCCGCTACTACCGCGGCACCGGCTGCAATGACATGATCAATGCCATTGACCCCGGCGTACGCCCCAGTCTTTTCTCGCCCTCCTGTCCATCAAACATTCGGAAGCTGATATCGTTGAAAACAGAGATGCAGCGGCACCTGCTACTCCTCGGGCGATGCCATCGCCAGCATCAAAGCGTCCGGTGACGGCACCTACGGCACAAACTGCCAGGTCTTTTACGACTCCAACTGCCAGAACCCCATCGGCCAGACCGGAAACACCATCACTGGGGGAGGAAAGTGCTATACGCCGTCTGACGGTCGCACCGGTCATAGCATGCTTTGCTGGTACCGCTGCTGAATGGAGTTGGGAGACTGTATACCAGTGGCATTCGCTTTTTTTTCTTTCGGAGGGAGCCACATAGGTATGTGACAGGAGGGAGTGGAAGTGGTAAGAGGGGTGGTTGGAGATGATACACGAGCAAAACAGGTGACAGAAAAGACCGGAATGCCAAGAGATGGGTCCCACAGTGATTTGGCTTTGAAGTAGCCCGATACCTACCTACCTACCTACCTACCTACCTAGGTAACTATGGGGTTGGGGTTATCAAATAAAGAAAATACATTCGTTTTGCGGCAGTTCCTACACTTTGGAATCTGTCACGTCCAAGCGGTGATGCATGTGCCTCTTCTCTGCGAGCCACATGGCTCTTTGAAGCCTGCAATTTCTCTCGAAAAAGAATTAAATCTGACCAATTAGACGAGTGTGTAGGTAGCCATGTTCATAACTCAAATAGAGGTCCAGGGTTCTTGTCTCTATACAATCGGTCCTTATCATTTCCCTCGAAATTATCGTCCGTCGTTCACGAAAGATGGTGGATATTCGAATTATGTGCAGGGCCCTAATGTGAGTCCGACTCCCCCAGACCAGGACGGTTAAATCCTGGACTTGCCGAAAGTCAAAAACATGCCCATACTATGAGAATGTGGCAGCACTTGTATTGATGTTCTGAGTGCCAAAGAGACGTCGTCGTCAAATGTGGATACATTTTGTCCCCTCCTAGTGGATGGAGGCAGTTGCGTCACTGTGGGCCTAGCGCAGCACACCCCTGTGCACACTCACCCACTCCAAGGAAACAGCTCGATGAGAAAGCATTCAATTGACCCCGTGAAAGCCTGACCAGAGACAAGAAAAGAACAGCTGAGAGGAGATACAGAATCCACATGCCATGTCCTGTCGTAACCCATGCCCGTGACATTAAAAAAAAAAAAGCCAAATGAAAACCGCCTGGAAAGTTATTCAGTGTGGTATGGACGGGAGCTGAATGTTCGACCCCGCCTTTGAACCGTTCTTCCCACTTTTTGATGCCCAATTACCGACATCCGCCTCAATATCGCCTCATCGAACCACCGCCCACCACGTAGTCGCTTATTGCTCCTTGCCCTTCCCCTTGGCCTTGTAGAGATAGCTATTTGTTACTGATTAGCAATTGCCCCTGCCGCTTGCCTCATTCTCTCGGAGAAAGCATCTACTCACTTGGTGAAGGCACCCTCGACAGCCCCAACAGCACCGATCAGACCCAGCCCGAGACCGACATCCTTCCAGCTCAGTCTGCCGCGCTCATACGAGTTCCAAGCCTTGAAGCCCAACCACCCGCTCAACCCAATAACGGCAATCAGATTCGCCACAGCCAACGCGCCCGCGGGACCATCGCCCATATTCTCGAACCGCTTCGTCAACCAGGTATCCGCCTTCTTTGCCTTGCTCTTGGCCTTCTTCTTAGCGAGGTCAGCTTCGGCGCGAAGGGTTTCGGCCTTGGCTCGGGCCTTCTTCTCAGCCTCCTCCCGCTCGATCCGGGCAGCCTGCGTGTCGGTCTTGACTTCTTGCTCGGCGAAATCGGAGGGGACGGTGCGGACAGAGGGGGTGTCAACGTCGATAAGGGAGGAGGTGGAGGTGGAGTCATCGACTACGACTTGGGGTGGTTGAGGGGCAGCAGCCTGAAATGGTTGTTAGCATCAGAGGCAAGGTAACTACGTAGACAAAGAAAAGCTGTGACGCGAACATACCTCCTCAGGAGTCTGCTTGGGGCCTTTGGATGCGACTTCAGCGTACGACACTGCGAAGACGTTAGCAAATGTTTTTGTTTGCGAATAGGCTGTCGACGACGTAGACGAAGCAAGCATACTTGTGTTGGCTGTTTGTGAAGTTGTGATGGATGGGAGAAATGGGTGTTGCAGCAGTAATGCGGTACAAAGAGAAGTGGTGAGTTGCAGTGTCAAGTGACAAACGAGTAGAAAAAGAAAACGGTCGTGGCTCGTGATGATGGTATTTATCGTGGGTCGGAGAGACTGGTGATGTTTTTGGCAAAAAGCAGGTGATGGAGTGGGAGGGAGGGGAAGGTGACCTCAGAACCTGGCAAGGCCCAGCTTGATTGCTTCTGCCCAGTTGCCGGCCATGAACGGAAGCGGGCGCTCGGGTGGGAGCCGGGGGTCGAGAGACCGCCAAGCCCCTTCCTGGCCACGATGACGTCTGCGGCTCCGCTTGTTTCCTCGAGGGCCAAGGCAGCCCACCAATCGAACAGCCGCGAAGCTACTGGAGCTTGGGCCTGTTCAGCGCCGTTTTTGATGCCGTTTGTGTTGTCGTGCATCGCCATACCCCTGGACAGCTCAAGCATCCAAGATGTCACGTTTTAGGGCCTGCGAGATCCCGAGGATCAGTCGAGATCTCGGCGGGTCCAGAGCCAGGCATGGGAACGTTTGTCAGCGACAGCCCTCACCCTCCTATCTCCCACGTCCACTCCAGCCCTAGTGTAGGTTTTCAAGACCGCTTTTGAAGTATTGATGTCTTTAAATGGTGCATAATGTACCTTATACACAAAGCAGCAGGACGATAACATACAATCCAACCCAGTTGGCCGGGTTTAGTTCCGTTAGCACCACGCTAAATACCTTTCTCTAACCCAAACCAACGAACCGGCCCCTTAAAATTAGAACTCTAATCGAGAATGTCTATTGTTGTCGTGATGTTGTACACGCCGGCCTACCAACACCCGGCTATTGCTTGTTGTTGGCATCGGTAGCATCCACCGCCTCCTTGGGCACAGGTGATGGCACCGCGTTCTTGTCCTCAACCTTCTTCTCCTCGACCTTTTGTTCAACCTTCTTCTCGGCCTGCTCCTTCTTCTCCTCCCCGGCTTCCTTCTTCTTCTTGGCCTGGATATCCCCGACCAGCTTCTGGACCTCCCGATCTTTCTCAGCTTGCTCAGCCGACTTCGCGTCAGACTCGGGAGCCTTGGTCGCAACCTCGATGCCCTCGGGGGCCACAACAGTCTCGTCATCGTCGTCGTCGTTCAGCTCGGATCCATAGATCTCGGGGTACTGTCTAAAGCAAGTTTGCATGCCCCTGTTTTCATTTGTCAGCATCACGGAGAAGTGGTGGCACGGTAAAACCTACTGGAACTTGTCAATGCACTCAATGCCCTTGGGCTCCTCTTTGCTGTAGACGAAGCAGCTGAAGGCCGCCTTGAACTCCTCACCGCAGGGACCGTGGGCCATGCCGCCCAGGCAGGGGCAGTCCCAGTTGATCTCTCCGGTCTCGGGGTTGAAAGCACCCTGCTGGGAGGCTTCTTGCTCGAGGGCCTCGGGCGAGCCAGGCTCAAGTTCTGTGGCAGCCGTCACTGGGGACTCGGTTGTTGGCTTAGACTCCTCCTCGTTGGCGACCTGCTCAATCTCGGCTGCTACCACGGCCTTGGTAGCTTGTGGTGGGGGTGGGGGAGGGGCATGGCGACGCTTCTCCTCGATGAGGGCGTCGATGGTGGGGAGATCGGCCTCGGAGAACTCGGCGGGGGCGGTTTGCGGTTGAGCTGTGCCGGGCCAGAATGATTAGCACCGCATGATGGAGCAGCAAGGCATGAGAGACCAAGGCAGCAACTTACGGACTTGATCAGCAAAGATTGGGCTGGTGTTGTAGTAGTATAGCGCAGCACCGGCAAGACCCCATCGTACCACTGTTCCCTTCCATGTGCCAGTCTTCTTGGTGGAGGCCGATGTCGAGGCGAACCGGCGGGTGGGAGCGGTTACTAAGCTGGATGTCGTCGTCGGCGCTGGCCGAATTGCGCGCAAGGCGCAGCGCGCGGAGCGATACATTTTGGCTGCAGACTGGATTGGAAAGTGGTGGGTGGTGGTGAAGAAAGCAGTTCAAGACAAGAATTCAACAACACTGTGCTCCGGCCGAGTCCGGTGATCAACAAACGGCTGCCGCAGAAGATGGGATGGATCCCAAAATTTTGGTGATGGCCTCCAAGGCCCGTCCGGCACAGCGCAGGGAATTTACCGGATGCAATATGATTGGCCAATGGAGGGGAAGAACCCCACAAATTCAGTCAGCTTCGGCACGGACATTTCTTGACTGCATCGCATCAACTGACATGATTGATGACACCTGCCAGGAACAGAGCTACTCATTTATTTTGACATGTGCTATCTCGGAGTTTTTGCTGCTAGTACACTAAATACAGAAGAAAACACTCTTCATAGTACCTATAGCTGCCTTTGTCAACAGCTCACCACTCTTTAATCTCCTCGCTTACTCGGCGGCACATGGCGACCCATCCAGCTGGGTCTCCTCGGCGAGCCAGTCCTCATTCTGATACTTGCGGTTCTTCTTCTTTTGTTTTCCCTTTTGCTTGACCGGCGCCGCAACTGGCTCGGCTGGTTTCTCACACTTAGCGATGATCTCTTCAGTGTTTTCTTCAGTAGCCCACTCAGCAGCCCTGTCAGCAGCCCTGTCAGCAGCCCTGTCAGCAGCCTTCTGGGCAAGCTTCTCGATAGCCTTCTCGGTACTCTTATCGAAAGACTTCTTGTCACACTTCTTCGCGGCAGGCTTCTCGGCGGGCTGAACAAGGTTGCTGTCGGCATTCTTGGAAGCAGCCTGATGGGTTTCTGTCTGTCTTGGGACATTCGCTGTCCGCAGGCGAGGCTTCATCATTTCCCCCCCGGCACCGCGCTGTCCAGCATGATATGCCCGCGCCTCTTGCCCATCCACTGCAGCATCGCCTCTGAACCTCCGCGGCTTCTCGTTACCCGACAGAGCGGACGACACAAAGGAATGGTACACGGGAGTCATGCCCTTGCCCTTGCCCTGCTCCTTCCCTTGCATGCGATCTTCCTGTTCCTCGTCCCAATTGATAGTTTCCCAGCTGTCATCGATCGGGGCAGAGTCGTACAAGAGGGCGTTCTTGACTCGGCGGAACTTCCTGGAAGCGTAAAGGCTGAAGGCAGCGATGCCATTCTCTATGCAGGCCGCTTTGATGTTGTCACGCGTCCTGGGCATCGACACTTCTACCAAGTCATCGTCGTCCCAGTGGTCATCCCCTGGTGGGGTGACGGGGCTGCCGAGATCTACCGGGTGCATTATTTCTCTTTCGGCCTCAGCGATGATCGATTCGTTGCGTGGCTGCTTCCTCGTCAGTTATATTTGAGTCGACGGCCGTTCCTGGAGGGGTTGGAATGCATACCTGCAACCTTGGTCTGGATGGTTTGGTTCGTCCGTTTGCGTAAGCGTCCCCGATTTCCTGGATGTTGATCTTGCCGCTCATGTGTGCCCCAGCCCCTGTGCCGGTATTAGGTTGTCTGGTGCTTGTCAAGGTGAGCGTGGACAGATGCCTAAACGACAGAAAGAAAAAAGCCAAAGAGAAAATTCCAAAGTGCCTTGGGCTTCTTTGAGGCTCAAAGTTACCTTAGTGTGTAGTGGAGCTTACCTTATCGTCCATCTCACCCAACGAGAGGCTTGATGGCGCATTTGGAACCCTACAACTTTGCTCTCTCCTGAACCTTGACAATCGGCACGTACACCGAACCCTAACCACATGAGTGGAACAATGCAAATCATGCTAACATTTACTAGGCCGCAAAGAATCTCGTCATCAGCAAAACCATAATATCACCTATTTCTCCCAAGCCCCAACGTGGCCAGCAGGTTGGCAAGATCTCCCCCACCACCGCCTCCCCTTCCCCCGTTACCGCCATTCCCACCTCCCCCATACCCCCTGTTCCTCGCGACCCCCATGGTACGCGTGGTCATCCTACACGTCTCAAGCCACATGCTCGCCTGCTGGGCCTCTGTACTCCCCTGCTTCTTCGTCCCTTGATACGCCATCACCAGCTTCTCAAAGCACATTTCGGCTTCTAGCCACAGGCTATCCTTCACGTACGACATGCCCAGCATGGCGAGCGCATTCTGGACCTCTGCAACCTTGAGTCCTTTCCTCGGCTCCAGCCACTTGAGGTAAAGCTCCATCCAGGGCCTTGACGCAGCCGGGAAGACACCAGGCCGTGGGGTGCCTGTCTTGGCGTAGAGTATCGCCATGGCCACCACCGCGGCCATGGTATCGGGGTGGTCTGGCCCGAGCGTCTCCTCCGTCTGGGACTTGGCTCGACGTAGCAAGTCGCCGGCCTCGGTGATATCACCCAGCAGGATCTTGAGCTTGCCGTGGTTCCTCAGCGCGCGGAGGGTGACCCGGTTGGTGGGACCGACCGACTGCCTGAGCTTATTGTAGAGGTTTCGGATGCCGACTTCGGCAGAGATCACTTTGGGATTTGTCTTTTCGAGACCATAAGGGTCTGCGTCTGGCGAGGGGGTGCTGATCTCGACCAGGTCAATCACTGCCGACACTACCAGGACGTGGTTCTCGCCCAGCACTTCGGAGAGGGCTGCGAGACGGTGCTGCAGCCTGTTTTGGGCCTCTTCTGGGCGCTTGAGAGCATGGCATACCACCCCGAGAGCACGCTCGGTTGTGAGAGTATCGAGGTGGTTGGGACCGAGGGCATCCTGTTGGTTGACTAGAGTGTTGGCCAAGATGTTTTCGGCGTCCTCCCAGTCGCCCTTGTCCGTGAGGATCTCGCCCTCGAGCCTGTTGAGCTTCAGGATCAGGGGATGTTTGGGGTTCAAGAATTTGCTGCCGACTTGAAGCGCCCAGCCGGTCCATCTTTCGCAGTCTAGAGAATGACCCGTGTCATTCGCCGTGTAGGCGATCTCATACGCTGCACTGATGGTCTCGGCGTTCTCCTGGCCTAGCGTCCGCTGGTGCTCTTCAAATACCTGTCGTTCCAACTGGCGCACTTCTTCCCACTTGTTGGCGTTTCTGAGTTCAGCCTCTCGAACTGACCTCGTATCAGCTGGGTCAGTGGGGAGATATATGTCGCCATAGATTTCCTGCGCGGCGGGTTCTGGCGAGACATAGCCCGGGTCAGATGGTGGTGAGAAAAAGGCGGGAGGCTGCGGCGAGACGGATCTCCTTCCAGGGGTGTTTTGTGCCGACATCGGTCGTGGTGGAAGCACCGGAGGGGAGGGCCAGTCCTGGCCATCCCAGCCATTAATGATCGGAATCCTAGGCTGACTGATGGCTGGCTGTGGTTGTTTCTCCAACGCCTTGCTGTAGATATCCTCAATATTTCGTCGAATCTTCTTGAGGTTGTCTTGGTCTTTCTGTGTGGTGCCGATCTTGCACAGCGAGCTGTGGTCGCCGTTGAGCTTTACCACGTTTTCGACATTGCCGGGAAGACCAAGCTTGGCGCTCTTTGGGGGAACAGTCTTGGAAGGGCCTGAGGTTAGACCGCCATGCAAACGGGTTGAGACAGGGGGGAGCTCTCACATAATCTTCGGAACCCCAGAACGAGATGATATCATACTTCATCAGTTGGTGCTGCCACATCTCAGTCAAGATGTCGGAAAACAGACTGCCCTCTCTCAACACTTCCATGACGTCGTCTCCGGGCTGGAAGCCAGTGGCAGTTGCAACTCTGGCCACGAGAGATCCAAGGCTCACAAGCTTCCAGTCTCCGCCGTTGTGGGGTGTCGCAAAGAAGGCCAGGCCTGTGGTGACATCCTTGATCTCGGTGAACTTGGGGTTGTTGTGAGCGTTGATCAGGGCTTGCTTGATCAACAACCCCCCGAGACTGTGTCCAATAAATAGTATCGGTCTAGTATCATCCTTGTCGCGTTCGCATCGCACAGTCTCCAGGAGCTCTGTTGCTTTATCGACGAAGGTGGATCTGTCCTTGCCAAAGACAGCTTTGGAGTCGTACTCATACAGGAATATTCTCGCATCGGGCACAACGCGGGGAAGGTCTTCCTTCAGCCAAAGACGGCCCTCTGGACCCTCTGGTGCGCGCCATGTATCCCACGCGTGGGCCGAGATATCTTTGCTCCGCGGGTTGAGACCATGGACAGCGAAGATGTCAATCTTGTGCGTCTCGGTATCCGAGCTGGATGGAGGAGGGTAGAGTTGTCGGCAAGCCTGTTATGGGCAAGGATGAGCGAGGGAAGTAATGCGGACGACATTTCTCAACAAGCTCACCATAATAATTTGCTGTCCTCGTCTTGCGCGACGGCTGGCTTATCTAAAACCAATTGTCCGGTGCTTCAGCTGCCAACCGCTCAGCGAAAGAGTGTGTAGTTGTCAAGCCCAAAGCTTTCGTTGGGAGGGGTCTTACCCCCCCCCCTCCTTATGATACTCCCAGAGGTCCGGCGTTTCCAGCTCCAAAGTGAGGCTGAGGCACAGGGGCTGAGACCACGTGCCCATATATGAATCGTTCAAGATCAAAGTCCCATTCGCTCACATCTCCCCCCATTTTCTTGCGCAGTAGCAGCTGAAAGCCTGCAGAATGGTATGTCAGCCATTACGGCAAGCACACAGCTAGCATCTCGGGGTATTCGGAACTGGAAGGATGGCCGAACCAATGAGCTGAGCCCAACGGCATCCATCCAATACAAAGTATCAGCCGAATAAATTGCCGCCAGAGGGCCGCAACGCCTCGGCGTCAAATTCGTCCGTGACATTGGTTGATGGTCGCGTGCTCCAAGGCCTGCAGTCCAAATGGAATCAAACCCCAGGCCATCGAAGACCCCCTTCTAATGCGAGGCAGCACGTCGTAGACAAAATGGTGGACACTACAATATAAAACAAAGACTTTAAAAGATCATGAAAACGCCCTCGATTATTTTGTCTAGCCTATCGGGTACCTAATCCTGAAGCACTAAAATGTATACTTTAGGCCCATCACCTATCTTAAAAGCGGCTGTCACGACCTTTCACTTCCTATTCACTACCTGATCTTTCAAGGTATAATCACTATCTTTAATGGTGTATTTGTCATCTTTGAGGGCGGTACTACCTATGTCTCAAACATCGTCCCCGGTGAAGCTCATTGGAAAAGAAGAAGTCGGTCCCCCGCTCCGTTACCAATCCCTCTTCCTCGATCTAATCTCCTCCAATTCTACGCTTCCGCTAATTCTGCCAGTTACCTCCCAGCAGCGCCACCCGATCACGATGCAGCGCAAGGCAGGAAACGCGACAACCGCCTTTCTGAGCGGCTTTTGTCAATAAAGGAAGGTCTTTGTACATGTTGGCAGACACAATCCACAACCGAGCAAGCCGGTGCATGTTCTGCAGGGGGGCGAGGAGAAAATCGAGGCTTCGGCGTGGGTCAGGTCTGTTCATGTTTACAACCAGACCCTGTAGTGAGTGCCTCGTGGTTGCTGCCAACAGTTTCTGATTGCCCCAAGTTCCTCCAAGGACCAGGGACATTTCTGCCAACTGCATCGGGGTCCGGGGCCGACGCATCTCCAACTCCCGGGCACCCACCAGGTAGGCAGGGCCATATTTAGACCCTCTATCTGTCTCAACGAGGACAGCATAGCCCGAAAGGGCCTCGGAGTCGAATAGGTCAACCAAATTGTCGGTGATGCAATCTTCGATAGTCTCTGTGTTGAGTCTGACCTCTTGAAGGAAGGCGAGATCGGCTGGCTTCTTCCTCAACGACTCTGGTTTCCATACCCACATAGCGTCGAAGAGACCCAAATGTGTGAGGCGTAAAGGCTGCCCTCCTGATTCGGCATACTCATCACAGAGCCGATCAAAGAAGTGGACAAACACGCCAAAGCTGCCCTCGCGTTCAAGCTGTCGCACAACGGCTTTGGCAGACAAGCCGAGTTCCAGCCGGTGAAGATTCGGGGAGTGGCGCAATAGCTGGACAGTCTGCTGGCGTGAGCGGTTTGGATCATCAAAGAAGTTGCGCAGTGAAATGTGTTGAAGGTTTCGAAAGAAGGCAAAGTCTTGACGGTAACAGGAAGCCCCCTCAAAGCTTGAGTAAAAGTCTACAGCAAGCCGATCATGAGCGATTTCCCAGCACGGTTTCAGCCGAAGGAGGCTAGGGAAACTGATGCGCAGCTTCCTCAGCACAGGACGCGCCTGTCGAACGGCGTTCAGTGTTGCAGGCTCAACTTGAAACGGCTCTTCTCATCTGCATTGACGGTGTAATTAACAAATACCTAAGCCGGACACAGCCAGAGGCTGACGAGCATTGTTACATCAGACTTTCAAGTGATGGCATCTGAGAAACAAGGCGCCGGATGCTTCTGTTGATGTGCTGAGATTTTGAATCGCTCCACAGCGACTCGTGACAGCCCTTGACCCGCTCATTCAAATGCCATCCATCAATGGTAATATGTTTTGCCAAGGCCAGGTTGATATTTGCTGGGTCAATTCGATCAAGATTACGGTCCACGTAAAGGTACAGCCACTCGCAGAACTCGGCGTTGGACAGCTTGTTGGTGAGGCAAGGTTATAAAGGGCTGGCTTCCGAGTCTGAAGGGTTTTTCCGACATGGTGTAAAAGAAACGCGGTGCGAGGGAATCGCTGTTGGCTGGACTGGTGGGACGACATGTTTCCACTGGGCCGGGGGTGGAAAAATTGAAGGTTTGTTGTTTTGGTTGTCCGCTTGATTCTGAAAGCACTTGTTCCCTTTGCCCTACCCACCACGACGAAAGCGGTCACAATTTTGGAAGTTATGGGCAATAAAATGGAGTACCAGATTATTTCCCAGTGACCAGTTACTCCGTCGACGGCGGGTTGCCTAAGGTACCTGGTAGGTACTGTACATAGTCGGCTGCGAGGTCTGTTGCAAGAACAATCCCCATTGTTTCGCCGTGAGCTTTTGACCCATCGGTCCCAAGTAGCAGCGTTGTTATCGCCACAGCGAGCTGGCCAACTTCAAATACAAGCATTGTTTTCCAGACAGCCGGGGGTGGCCGTTAACTTGAGCATGCCTTAGGTATAAACCAATGGACCTAGATGCTGATAGAATTGCATATTCAAAGGTAGTAATATACCTGCCTCCCTTACGCATACTGATTCAGTCCACTGTACTGTATCTCTCTCTATATCTCTAAATCTTTGGTCAGGAAATGACCATGCTCGTGACAACCACTAGCCGCGCTTCAATCAGGGGTGTTAATCAGGGTCATCACCCCAACTGCCACCTGCCCAGTTTGCATGCCTTGCGAAGGGTTACCGCTCTGGCTCCAATATGTATTTGGTTTGGTCACTGTGGTAGCGTTTGCTGGCTGAGCCATCCAAGCTATCTGGGGCTATAGAAACGACAAAAGGTCAAAGGACCACCACGTCCGGGCTCTCAAGTCTCAAATTTGTGAACTGGAGCTTGTCATGCTCTATCGGGATGCCACCTTTGGCAATGCCGTTGCTGCTTTTGATGAAGCACTGGCGGCTATCCCGTGGGATCACGCGCCACAGTAGAGCTAATCACTTTCCAGCATTTGTGTTTTTGGTATTTTTTTTATGTTGACTATACATCCCAGCGAGGGTCATGATTGATTGTCCTTGTCATTAATGCTTCCCCGAGATTTAAATTGATTTCAGTTGATTCTTGTGCCTTCATTTCTATTTGAGGTTCTGAGCACTTCCTGTCACTTGTGATATGGTATGCTGTTGTATGTCAGAAGTGCTATGCCTCTCTTCGCTAGGAAGTGGTCTGAGCAGAGCCACTCATACCCGGCTTTGTTCTGTTGTTTTGGCTCACATGGACCTTGCTTATCATTGCATTCATTGTCAACCCACCGGAATCTCCACATACACGTTTGCGGAACAAACAAAGCTCCATAACTTTGAAAGCCTTTTCAAACAAAGAACCTCATTAGTTCCAACAATTCAACGTTTAGACTCAGCGAGAGATACCTATAGTTGCATGGGCACGGTGGGCTATTTGAGTGATCAACCGCTTTTACAACAACTTCAGAATGGCGTTTCATCCATATCGTAGGGAGTCCCGTACCGGTTGGGGCCGAGGGAACCAGGCAGGCCAGGCCGGGCGTGGTCAAGGGAATACGGGGAGAGGCGGTGGTCATAATAGCATGTATCTCATCGGGGGAGATCCGCCGACCAAAGCACGACAATACTACAAGTTCGTCCGACAGAACCGGGGGCAATTGGTGGAGGATGAGTCGCCAACACAACCGAATCCAAG